AACTTAAAATTTAGTCTCATCAGTTAGTTAGATTCTGGTTATACATTAGGACCGTGACTCCGTGAGTCAACTTGCATGAGAAATAGCTCTCCGTAGTCCTTAGTATATATTTTAAGTATAACTTTTTCATATTATTTAATATTTTTCTCCTTAGGGAACATATTTTGATATTCCCACAAAACAAACGGCAAAATCGCAGCTACCTTTTTTCCTACTTGCTATATTATTCTTTCCTTTTCATTTTATGGTAAAACTTTTCATTAATTTGAACGTAGAAAACAAAAACTAAAACCATTATCTCGTAGTTCTTTCTTTTCGAAAAATAGATATATATATATATATATATAATAAGAAACCAAAAAGTAAAAATAAAACTACTGAAGTTTAGAAAAAAAAAACTAAAAACCTAATATCGACAATACAAACCAAAAAATATAAAACTCAAAAACCAAAAACCAACTAAAAAAACTACTGCCATATGAAGCAAAAACTGACTAATCCAAATTAGATCGTATTTGTTGCTATCATTTATAAAATAAACTTTTATATAATTAACATTATTGATCTAAACTGTTTAATTTCATCTATATTACAAAAAAATACCATTCCTTACTCGAACTTGATATATACAAGACTTTAAAACAAAAAATCGATATGCCATCTTAATTCATCATTCCAACATTTCACGAATTTTGTCCCCTACTGGTGGTTCACTGGTTTGTATCTTAGTTACCCAATGACTATAATAACCGTACCGCTTCGAATACTTCAGTTTTTCCGGGCGCATTGCATAATCTCGTGTCATCATTAATCAACTTCATTAGTTTACAAAATTCTAATTACGACGCTCAAAGAGAACCTACAATTACATAGTTACCTATGAGCATCGTCTTGCAAAAAATGCTCACTCAAATGACATGCGCAATGGGTTTAGCTATTCTAAATAATGTTAAAGTAAACAAAAAAAACATATATCTTGGAATGTCCAAAAACGACATGAAAATATATGTGAATGCGAATTGTATTGCACAGGTCCTACAATAATAGCTGTCCTCTGTAAAATACAAAAATAAATGTATTGTAATTAAATTAGGGTTCAGTTTGAATAAACCGTACGGTGTATATATCCAACTAAATATTTAGTATACACAAAGATGGACCGGGATATAATATATCAACATTGTCTGACGATATGATGTCTTCGAGGAATTTGTCTTAGAATTTATATGTATTCTTCGGATTTGTCTAATTATTACGAACTTACAATTAATCATATTTACATCATCAAAAAACAATACGTGTTAAATCGTAGAAAAGTTAATGTTGACAAAAAAAACAATAATTTGTCTGCTAATTGCTCGACATTTTGAGTCGTACAATATGATTCGTGGTATATCCGTATATATATGTGTGTCTAAACGATCCACGTCGTTCCTTAATTATAGTTTAACCACTACACACAATCGAACAAATAAAAAGTCTTTCAACTAACATAATAAATCATCTTGATCTTGTAACCAGACATAATATGTATAATACTATTTTCATATATTATAAATTAAAGTATGGTGAGATACAAACAAATGCCTGAAATTACGCACTGTTACATTTGTCTATTGCGACTATGCTTTATGATCAATGTATATTTATGTCATAACGTAAGCACTTTTGTCATAAACGAAAACGAAAACTATATAATTAAGTTACCGCAGAAAAGAAGAAGAAGAAGAGAGACCATAATACAAATTGATATTATGACATACTCAATAAACTTCGAATATTAAAATAGAAACCCATGACAAGAATAAATTCATATTTTCAGCTATCCATCTTTAAAATAGCCAGTGGATATCCTATATTACATATTTTAGATTTTCTAATAAAATAATATAATGGGTCCATCACAATATACTACTTTCCTAAAACATATTCGTTTATAACATGAGTTGGCAGTGTATCGTAAGAAAACAAAAGTTATGAAAATTTGATTTTGCAAAGTTTTTTATGATTACTTCATTAAGCTCATCAACTATTAAAAAATACTTCTCTTACTTTAGCTTTAGTAATCCAGTTAACACCTTTTTTTTTAGCATATTGATGATTTATATGAAGCCAAATTTTTCTTGGGGTATAAAGCCATATAAACCATCAGCAATATATGTCTATAAATATTGGTGTCTGCTTAACTGTTTTAAGGACCACGGTTTCAAAGATATAAACTTCTTTAATGACACATTTGAGATATAAACTTGGTCGATACCGATTTATTAGTTATATACACTAAATGAACTTTCGATTGCTACATTATTCATTTTTTGTTAATGTGAGGTTATATAAGAAAAAATTACCGTACAATTGACTTTTGTGGATAACTTTACAGTAAAGTCTTGATCACGCTGAAATAAAACACTAAAAACTACAGGTGTTTAGGAATCGGAAGAAATTCGAAAGAAATTCTACAGTTAATGAAATTCGAAAGAAATTCTACAGTTATAGTTTCCTATAACAGTGAAATTCTACACTAAAACACTAAACCCTTTCATGTTTCCTACAGTTAATGAAACTTAGGAATCGGAAGAAATTCGAATAATATAATAGTTTCTTTGATATAGTTTTCGTTTTAATTTATTAAAGGGAGTTTTGAAAAGCTTGATAAGTTTAATTCGTTTGGTTATATATGATCTCGATTAGTTCTAAATGTTGATTGGTTTACTCTCTTTGAATTCAATTTATATCGATTTTTTTGGTACAGTTTCAATTTGATAGGAATTGGTTTAATCAAATTGTATGTTCCTAATTGCTATTTAGAATAATCATGATCAACTGTGTTGTATACGGCTCAACTAGACTATAATGCCACTATAATGCCAAGTTGAAATTTAATTTTGATATTGATGAATTGTTGTAAGATATACATAGTGCTCGACAATGTCTTAATCAGTACAATATTAATCACCTACCAACCTGAACTATATGTTAGTATATATTTTAAGGGGGCACGTCAAGTGTGCCGTTTATTTGTCTGGTTACCTTTTTATGTTATTATTTTCGTGCGTGTGGTGCTTCTTGTCAAGTTTCCACTTATACACAGATAAATACCAACTGGTACTATTTCTGAAAATATTATTCGAGAATAATACTGACGGTAAACGGGGTAATTTGGAGCTTACTATTTCCAGATGACACCAGTAAAGATGATTTAAAAAAAACAAATATAATGTACATTGAAGTTTAAAATCTGATGTACAATGTCCAAATAAGCAGACTAGACCACCTTTTTTAGGCTCGTGAGTTGTTAAATCGAAAGATTTCCTTTAATTCGTGATTATAGTATTAATGCTTTCACATCCTTAATTGAATTACGTATATATATCATCATCATGTATTGCATGACTTAACTACTCTTAAGAGAGCTTAAAAATAAACCTACGCTTAAGAGGAATATGATAGATATTCTTTAGAAACCTTTTTTCTCCTCTAAATGGGATTCTTTTAAAAAGAAATTAGTCTAAAATGTCACTTTTTTTGTAAACAAGTCTATAAACATTGCGTGTTTTTAATATTGTGATATTTTCCTAAATTATTTAAGAAATTAATCTAAATTAAAATTTAAATAAAGCGAAGTTGAATTCGATATATTTTGTTTTACTTTTTTCCTCTCGCAAAATTAGAGCGTTTTACTTTTACGCGATTTAAAATCTAATTTGATACACATTCAGTTAATTAAACTTCTATAATCGCAGGCAAAAGAAACATCGGTTATTGTAAAAATGGGCTTGAGAGCAAATGATTACTTTGGAGATGGTGCAATGCATCAAATTGATGATGTGGAAGTCAATAGGCTGTGTGAATTTATGGGCAAGAAAGGAAAGTAGAAAAGTTTAATAGAGAGAGAGAGAGAGAGACCAAACCATAATGAGTTAACGCAGACATAGCCGCCATTTCCACTTCTCACTCCCACTTACAACTTCTCCTTTTGGGCAAGTTTTCGACATCAATGCTCGTCTTAATCACCATTATTCTACTCATCATTAATACATTGAAGCCCACTATTTTTCAGATTCACTCCTAAGGAAAAAAAGACACTAATTGTCTCTTATTATGAGCGATTTAAATTATTTAATTACATATTTATTCTTCTTATAAGTACACTCTACAATTGCTTTATTTATTTTTCATTTCATTTACCTACTGTAGTAAAGGATTATAATTTGTCTCGGGTGAAAATTTTAGGTTTTTAGTACATTTGTGAATCACCATAATTTGCAGGATCATATTACATTTTGGTTAACGTCCTCGATAGCAAATTGGTGCTAGATAAAAAAAAATAAGATGTTCAACACGACGTAAACAAAAGTATGAGATCATAGACAAAGACAGACCAACATTTCAATCTGGTCAATTTCTTTTGGTTTTTATTATTGTTCAACAAATAATTGGGTGTTTTCTTTTCAGTAAACAATTTTTACATGAATATGTAAGTAATAAATTTATTTAACTATATAAAATCAACAACTTTTTTTTTTTAAAACACATATGCAGTATGCAAATCCAAATGGTGATATAATCACAAACCACTAAACTATATATTTTGTTCATAATTTGTTATTTTATGAACTAGTTTTTGTATAAGATTTTTTTTTTATATAGAAAAGATTTGCTTGTCTAGTAGTTCCCTAATCCACTAAAAAAACCGACTTCAATTACCAGTGAAATTCTGGTTAGAAAAATATTTATCATGTAGAACTAACTAGTATTTCAATTTTATTTTTTAAAAGGAGTAAAACAAAACGGGTACTGTAGAGACTATAAATAGGATTGAGAAGATGAACTTTAAGCCTCTTTCAATCATGAACTACTCGCCTTCTCCAACTTTTAAAACTCATATCATAAATAATAAAAAGTAGCCGAAAAAAAGAGAGTCTCTTTCTCTTTCCTTTTAAATCCAAATCCTATAAACTCCATAGCTTCTCTGTTCTTTACTTATACCTCACGTTATACATATATAGCTTCTATAAATGCTTCTCTTTCCTCTCGAATAATCTTCCCTCATTTCTACACTCACCTTCCTCTCTACATAAACCCTATCTCTGCTTCACTCTTCCTCAAACTCTCTCTTTATTCTAGTTCTCTCTCTCGCTGCTCTGTTCTTTCTCTCTCTCTCTTTCCCTCTCCCTCTCTCTAATAGGAAAATATGACGGTGGTGAGAGAGTACGACCCGAGCCGAGACTTAGCCGGCGTGGAAGATGTGGAGCGACGGTGTGAGGTCGGACCAAGCGGCAAGCTTTCTCTCTTCACCGACCTTTTGGGTGACCCGATTTGTAGGATCCGACATTCACCTTCTTTCCTTATGTTGGTAATTACTAATTTCCCATTCATTTTTCTTTTTATTTGCGTCTCTTCTTCTTCCTTCTCTTCTTAAAAAAAAAAAACAGATTTTTATCTCGAAAACTCTGTTTCTCAAAAGAAAGGAGAAAACAGAGGATACCAACCTTTCAACCTTCGATTAAATTAAAAAAAAAAACCATTTCCATAACTTAATAGAGCTTAGTTATTATTGTTGGTATTTGTATTTTTGTTTTTCGTTTCTAGTATTTTTTTCTCCGACTCTTGATAAGATCAAAAGGCTCATCATTTATAGTTTCTGAACCAAATACATCGAGTAACTAACCAGAAAGTTAAAAAACTTTTAAATTTATTTAAACAGGTAAAAAACAAATTTAATAACGGAAAGAAAAATTGAAATCGTTTTTGTAACAGGTGGCTGAGATGGGTACGGAGAAGAAGGAGATAGTGGGCATGATTAGAGGTTGCATCAAAACCGTTACATGTGGCAAAAATCACGATTCCCCTAAACTAAACGACGTCGTTAAGCCCCTTTACACTAAACTCGCCTACGTTTTGGGCCTTCGTGTCTCTCCTTCTCACCGGTATGGTTCCGTTTTTCCCTCTAATCACGCAATTACAAAGATTCTGATTTAATTAGTAGGGTAATTAAAACTAATGATTTACTCATTAATTTTGTTTTTTTTTTTTTTGGCAGGAGGCAAGGGATAGGGTTTAAGCTCGTGAAGATGATGGAAGAGTGGTTTAGGCAAAACGGTGCCGAATATTCGTACATAGCAACTGAAAATGATAATCAAGCTTCGGTTAATCTTTTCACCGGGAAATGCGGTTACTCCAAGTTCCGTACACCGTCGATTTTGGTCAACCCGGTTTACGCGCACCGGATCAACATCTCACGGCGAGTCACTATCATCAAATTAGACCCGAGCGATGCAGAATCCTTATACCGACTCCGGTTCAGCACAACCGAGTTTTTCCCGCGGGATATTGATTCGGTGCTGAATAACAAACTCTCCCTCGGAACTTTTGTCGCTGTTCCACGTGGCAGCTGTTATGGATCCGGGTCTGGATCATGGCCCGGTTCGGCTAAATTCCTCGGGTACCCGCCTGAGTCATGGGCCGTGTTGAGCGTGTGGAACTGCAACGACTCGTTTCGGCTAGAGGTTCGTGGCGCGTCGGGATTGAGGCGCGTGATGGCTAAAACGACGCGCGTGGTTGATAAAATGTTGCCGTTTTTGAAACTCCCTTCGATCCCATCGGTTTTTAAACCGTTTGGGCTTCATTTTATGTACGGAATCGGAGGAGAAGGCCAACACGCGGAGAAGATGGTGAAATCGCTGTGTGGTCACGCGCATAACCTGGCGAAAGAAGGAGGTTGCGGTGTTGTGGCGACGGAAGTCGCCGGAGAAGAGCCGTTGCGGCGAGGAATACCATATTGGAAAGTATTATCGTGCGAGGAGGATCTTTGGTGTATTAAACGGCTTGGGGAAGACTATAGTGATGGTGCTGTTGGTGACTGGACTCAATCGCCACCTGGCGTTTCGATTTTTGTGGACCCTAGAGAATTTTAAAGTTTTTTAACTGTTGATAATAATTTAGAAACTTATTATTAACCTTCATCTCATAGTAATGGATTTTTCTTGTATAAGCTTTTTTTATGTTTTATATATCATGATGGGTCTTTTAGTTTTAGAATTAGTCTTCTTCCTAGGTAATCTTCTTTTTTTTGTTTGTGGGTGTTAAATTAGTGGTAAGAGGCAATATCTTCTACTTTTGGGTTTGTGTCTTCTTGTCTTGTAAATGGATCTAGCTTTTTAAGATACTTTTTCTCTGGCCAAATCAAAATGCCGACCTGATTTATTTTTTGTTTTTAATGTATATTGAGAAATTTAATGAACGCATTAATACGTGGAATGAAGTAATTTAATTCCTTTAGATGCAATAATCTTGCAGACAAAATAAAATTTATTTATGACCGTAGCGGAAGGTGTATGTACAGAACCTACTACCAATAATGATAAACTTAATTACCACTACTGGGACATTAACCTGTAACTGTTTTTTTTTTTTTTTTGGTCGTCAATTTTGCGTGTTAAAATTTCAAAAAATCAAAAGTAATAATTGTGGAACAAAATTCATTAAGCCACCTATTTCCATGGAATTTTACTATCCCTTTGTTTTCCTAAATTACTATATGTATAAACTTGTTGGATATCCACTAGAAACTCCCATTCAAACTAACTAGAGAAAGAAGCACATTTTCTTAAGAGTAATAAATAAAATAAAATATGATGTATTAGTTTAGTTGTTCTTTTTTAGGTGGGATTTTGGTTCTTAGTACTTTACTAATTCGAGATTGATCATTGATGGATATTGGAGAATAAAATCACCTTTTGATATCGCCAATCTTACGTGTAAATGACATGAAAAATCAATGTCATGGACCACATTTTTTTTCAATTTTATGGTCCCAAAGATGTATATAAACTGATAGATTTATATGTTTCTTTTGTTGGTTTGCAGTAGCATGATTGAAACCTTTGAATCGGGTTTGAAAACGTGTCTTTGTCCAAAAGAGGTATTGTCGAGTACTCGTGAGCACCGATCGAGTCAGGGAAAGTTTATACTATAAGGGTCTCTTGTTCATCGCATAATAAGACATGTGGAGATTTCTTCTAAGAGTACTACTTTGTGTTTGTGGATTATATTTCAGTTATAAAAACTATATACGTGCGTATGTTGACCGGAGGTTTGGTTTTTAGCTGTTGTGAGTTTATTACATTTGCCTTTCTTGGCAATATATGTTAGGATGTTTTGATGATTAATCGGATCCCATTAGACCCGGTTCGAATAGGACATTAGGACATGTAGCCATGCAGATTAGCTGTGCTTTTTTTCGAAGTGTAGTCTCAATGATTCATTGTTTTGTGATTTTGCGAAACAATTTGTGGTTCACACAGGTTCGATGGATTTGAAATCGGCTCGGTTCTGACGAATGTCTATCATATATGCAATCTAGTGATATGTATGATGAGAAGTGACTTAATTTTTTTTTTGGATGTACCATAAATACACTATTAAAGCTTGATCGTGGATTTGATTTTTGAAACCATGGACCATAGTTTTTTTTAAAAAAAATTGTAGCTAGTAAAAATAACAATATAGAAAACTAATGAAAGTTAGGTTATATCTTCACGAGGTTCTCAAGTAGAGGATCATGTGAATCTTAACGCTTAAGGATATTAAAGCAAACATATATAGAGGACAAGCGCCAAGTAGCAAAATGAAAATTTAATGCAACAAGCTGAGAATTATATATCTCTTTTTTTTCTGAATTAGTTAACGATCCATATATTATATATAGACAATGACGTGAGGCCACAAAAGCACTAGGCTATAAACATTTAGGCGATAGAAAAATTTAAGAATCTTTACACTTTTTACTTTCATGTATAATATTGTATATAACTAGTTTATATCCCAGTATGATCTTGCTTCGAAGATTTACTCGTGTAACTGAAGAAGACTACGAAGATTTACTCGTGTAGTGTAACTGAAGAAGGCTACGAAGATTTACTCGTACAACTGAAGAAAGATTCTTGCGTTTTAGACTTTTTAATAGATTGTAAAATACTGTATTCGTAACACTTAAATATTGTTATTCACCTGATGGTTTACAAATCTATGCTTAAAGATGATTGTTTAATTGAAAATTTGATTTTGTAAAAAAACTACTTATAATTAACCTCGTTGACAAACAAAATCTTTAACCAAATATTCTTCGATTACGTGAATACGTGATACATATTTCAACATTCAAACCTGCATCATTTGAATCAAATTAGATTTTGAAATAATATTAATTCCGTTTTATCTAACTGTAGTTACAATTTTTTTTTTTTTTGAATTTATATATAGAAATGTCGGCGATGTTGTTCAACACCCAAACATCTTATTCAGTTATTCTCATCTATCCCCCACAAAAATATGGCCGTGATAATTATTCTAAGGGAATATTCAATATGCGAGTGCATCCGTAGGGAAAATGATGTAACATTAGTGGAGGTATAAATATATTATTTATTTATTATATAAAGAAAACGACGAGGAAGATTTTCAGTACAATGACGGTGGCGAAGTATGTTAGAAGTATCATTATTTTTTACCGTGTAATTTCTCAACCTCAAGAGCAGTAAACAACTTTTTTTTTTTGTCGGGGAAACATAAATAATATAAGATTGGGGATACGTAAACTCAATTTAATGTTAAAGTAAGCTTAAAACATGGTTGCTCGGACAAAATTTTTTAAATTCTCTTCTCACTTAAATTAAACTTTCTTCCATGGAAGGTGAAAAATTAAATCAATACTTCTTGTTAAACATCTCAATGAAACTCTTAACTAATTAGAAAAAAAACAATGAAACTCTTACAAGACATGCATTAGCTCTATTAGGAAATAACGACTTGGGCCGTAGTCAGTCTTATTGAAGTCTCAAGACTGGCCGTACGCAAGTTCAAAACAAAGCCGAAAGTGAACAATTTTTCAGAACCATTTCTTATTAGGAAGATTTGCATATTTACGTTGCTTTGAGTTTACCTATAGCTCTATAAGTGCACCGATTTGATTGCAATGGTCTTTAATTCGATGGATTGATCTTTCTTTGCATTAGAACTTGAAGATCTTAGATTTTAGAGCTTTTTCTATGTTTGAATATAATTGCATTAATCTGGGCAAAGATCTGTTGAAATACTACTTTTCTGTTGATAGATGATTATAAAACTTTATTTGAACATTAAAAAAAAAAAAAAAACTATCTTCTCATTATTATTTCAAGAACCATTTCTTTGTTTTTAACACTTCCATTTTAAAGTGATAACAAAGCCAAAAAAAAAAAAACATCTAAACACCATAGCTACTAAGGAAGGACACCAAAGGGAATCAAAAGACAACAAAATGGTAACTCTGAGAAATTGGATCTTGGCAAAGAGAAAAAAAAGTTAGTCATGGGATGAACATTTGAGCAACCTAAAAAAAAAAGATGAAATCTTTTCTGCTTCTTGCTTCTGCTAATGCTTCTTGCTAGTAGAAGAAGAAGACTTAGAGTCATCATTAACAGAACCAGGACTCGAAGTCCCTGAGCTACTCATCATCTCTGCACTTCTCTCTTTACCAGACCAAAGCTTCGAGAACACTCTAGAAACTCCCAATCCTCCTCCTTTCATCAACTTCCCTTTACTGTTCTCTTGTTGTTGATTCTTTGCGAGTCTTAGATTCGCTAACTCACCCCTCAATGCTTTGATATCTTCTGTGTCCCAACACTCGGTGTCTTCTTCAGTGTTTGTTGATCTTGAAGCCGGAATTATCTCCGGCGTGCTGTTTCCCGTTGATGATGAACCGTTGTTGTTGGCTCTTACCTGTTCAAAGAAGAGCACTTGCACCACCACACGCATCGGTAACCGCTCGTTTTGAACCGCATGCGCACAAGCTTCAACCGATAGTTTTCTACAGTCCATTAGCCTGCAGATTCTCTTCTTCTCGCTCTTGTTGATCTCCGGATGTTCCTGATAAAAGACGAGAACAAATCAAAAATCTTGATTAGTAACTTGACCAAAATCTTGGTTTATTAGTAACCTACTCAAAAAATCTTACCTTGAGAAACATGTCGATCGCGCGATAAACTCCATCATGAGACTGTCTCGGAAAGTTCGAGACCATTTCCGCAAGTGCAAGGAACTTATGAAGAGGCAAATTACTCGAATCTCTCGATTTCTCAGCTAAGTAACCATCAACGAGTTTCGCAACCGATGCTTTCGCTGTTAAATCATCCTGTTCAGAGTGATTCCTCGCGTCCCGAGATTTCAAGAAAACCTCAACTAAGCTCTGCATCAAATCAACATCATAAAGCATAACATCACCCAAACTCGCCTCGTCTAATCTCTCGCCTACTCTGTTTTTTAACTCTGTTTCTTCATCACAGCCAAGAAAGATCGAAGCCCGCAATAACTTAGTCAAGAAACTCGAAGAAACGCTGCGTCTCTCATCAGGAATCAGCTCAACGATGGAATCAACCAATGCTCTGTATTTCGCAAAGTCAGTGATTTGTACCGAACCGGTTTTGCTGAATCCCGGAATCCTTCTAACCGCGTAAGCGTGCAATGCTTCTCCGATAACATCAGCAGAAACTTTCCCTCTTGCTTCGATCGTAGCGATCGCTCGTTTATACAAATCGATATGAAGATCACAAAGATCCTCGACCCACCAATCTACAGGAACCGCCTGAGGTTTTCTCAATCCGTTGTCAAGATTCTTCTTTTTGTTGTAAGTGTAAGACCACTCGACTTTCGAAGTGTCGATCGAAGCTCTAGAGGCGATGGAGTCAAGACAACGACCGGTTAGCTTCAGTTCTTCAGCGTATGGAGACAGAGCTCTCGTGGTCTGAAGCACGATGATCGAATCTTTCCAGGTTTGGAGTATGCTCGAATTCAAGAAAACTTCAATCTTGTAAACAAGGTTTCCTTTTTCGACGGTTTCGTACATTTCGAGAAACTCAGCGGCGCAGCGAGCAGCGACTACGTTGTAAGCGTTTAGAGTAACAGTCATTCCGTAGCAGAATTTAGCACAGATCTCAAACGAAGCAGGACCACCAGGAATCTCTGCTATTTCAATCTCATCTTCTTGATGATGAATCTGATTGTCGTCGTTTGTTGATGATGTTGCTGCGATTAGTTTCTGCAAGCGTGCGCTTTTCGACAGCAATGGAAACTGAAAAAAAAATATCAAAACATAAAACAACAATTTGTTGAATCAACTTTTCATTAGATTGAATCTTTCTCTGTAAAGCAATAAGATGAATCTTCAGTGTTTACCTTGTGAAGATAGAATTTGACATCGCCAATGACTACAATAACATCTGTAGCTAAATCGCTTGATACATACCTTCAAGAACAGAAAGCAGCAAAGTAACTTGTCAGAACACAAAGATTATAAACTTGTTTTATTGTATCAGATCCATAACTTTGATTCTATAATTCGATTTTTGATTAAAAAAAAACGTTGTTATAAACAAGAAGAATATATAAGGTAAAGATGAGGATTTTGAACACAAACCTTGCATTGTCTCCTTCAGATTGAAACGAATCAGGTTTGGATCCAAGTTTCATGAACTTCATGGTCTTGAATTAGTGAAGAGATCTCAAACAGAAAGCTAAAAAGACTCAAAACTGTAAACTGTGTTTCCACTCTCCCAAGAATGCTTCCCGAGTCAGAAACAGAGAATGAAAGACTCTGGAAGGAAAAAGGGTCTCACAGACACTTAAGGAAACATTGTTAATGGAGTCTCACATCTCAAAGAAAACATTGAGAAAAGGGAAAAAAAATTGATATAAAAGAGAAAACTTAGAGATGCACAAAACACCCACTTGAAAGCTCGAATTTACTGACACAAACACACACAGATAAACTCTTTTTTAATAATCAAATTCTTCTCTTTTTTCAAAGTGCTTCACACATTCACATACACAGAAACACGTGAAACCCTTTTTATCTCTTTTTATTTTAGTCGTCCACTGTGAAATAAACAACAACAAACGAATCCAAAGCTCGAGTCTTTGTTGGGTTTATGGGCGATGGCTATAAAGCGTCGTCGTTTGGTAGTAAATCTACAAGAATCAAGAAGACGGAGAAAAATTAGAAGATTGTCACTATTCAAGAGACAAGAAAATCGAATCTTTTTGGATGTTTTGCTGAAAAGAATCTAACAGAAACAAAAACATTAGTGGCAGTGATCGTTTATCTCAGTACAAGAGGACTGAACGTTTTTTTTAATAAAAATAGTTCTTTTAATATCAGGAACCGATTCGATTCTTTCAAACCCTAAAATCCTCAGTTGCAAAACTTCAATGTAAGAGAAACCAATTTAAGATATGAATTTCAAAACAACGAGGGTTTATAGCAAAATTGTGACCCGTAAATTTGAAAAATTGGATTCACCACTAAATGTAAAGAGTTCTTAGAAAAAAAAAATCAGCTAAAAAATATCGAAAATCCAAAGGTTGTGGTACCTCTGTTTCTTTTCTTCTTCAGAAGCCAACTTCAGTTTTTTGAAGCTCTCCTAATCATGAGCCATCACCAGAAAATCTAATTGCTATATAATCGTGTAAATTTATCTTCTCTCTCTCCTCTTTCTCTCTCTTTAGTCTTGACAGAGCCCCACAAAATTAGATAAAATCAAAAGTATGAGCTGTGTTCTTCAACTTTAAACCCCATGAACACAAAATGGCGCTACAAACCAAAACAGATCAGAAACCTTTCTTCGAATTAAGCACGACTCAGATCAGGTTGATGATAAAAGATTCTACTTTGTTCTTTTTCTTAAGCGATCAAACAGTGACCTCTCGTTATAAAAATGGATGCTTTCTTCTTTCTTGTATTTTGGAAACTGAGAAAAGTAAAGAAAAAAAATGGAGAAAGGAGCCAAAAAACTGAAAGAGAGAAGAGGAAGAAGGCGAGATAGAGAGAGAAAGGTGTGTAAAGCTTTTTCTGTAGAAATGCACGCGAAATCTGACAAAGCACTTACTTGTGTGCCCCCTTCTCTTCAGACAAACTTACCTTCTTTTCAGGATATGTTTTCTTCTTTCCTTTTCATTATCTCTCTCTCTTTCTGCTTTTCTCTCCACTTTTTTTCTGCTTCTAATTAATCTCCGCTTTTCTTTTCATTAATCACATTATTTTCAACATATTTTTTTACTTTAAAATAAATGCCTATTTGTACCCAAAAAAAAAAGAACTATAATTCGTTCCTGTCGAATCCTAACTAATGAAATAATAGATTTGGAATGATTTATCATTTACGCCTATCTTTCCTACTTTTATGATACTGCAGGAACATTGGTATATACGTGAAATTGTGAGTACAAGCATATGGTCAACATTGCTGTCTCTTACAGCATCTCTTAAAAATAAATATTATTATTTTAATCAGTGTTTTATGTAAAAATAAAGAAAACGTTGCTTATATTAGAACACCTAAGAGACGTTTTTAAAACATGTGGATGCATATGATTGGTTCTTCAATATAGAGAAAAAAAAATATTTTTTCCTTCCTCACCTTTATCCTGACACATGTTTCATCATTATTCTTTTCATTTTAATAAAAAATATTAAAAAAATTATTAAGAAACCCAGTTGAGTTTCAACAATGTTCATGCTTTTAGGACTTAAAAATAATATGTAAATAACAAAAAAAAGTCAAAGAGTTTGAAGACCTATTTGGACCTAAAGATTTTTTTTTGGGTTGTAGCAGCTTCTTGATTAGGTTCATCACAAAGAAAATTATTTTGTAGATCTTCAAAGATTAATATTAGATAATTAGATGGTAAAGTGTAGGATGCATGTGGCAGCCAATAAGAATCCAATGACTGTTAGCTGAAAAGAAGTTAGAAGTCGATTCATTGCTGTTTCATCTTCACATGGTTTATACATCTCACGAATCTATTCACATTATCCAATAGATTTCCCTCTTCAATTTCTTTATATTGTTTTATTTTCTAGTTGTCCTTGATGAGATTAGCATCCAGCTACTCGCCTACTTCTGATACTAGCAAGTAAATGTTTCGACATCATGGATTGACATCTAAATGCTTGCTTAAGAATGTTTATTAATCAAGAAGATACTTCGACCATATATATTGGTGTAAGAAAACAAAGTTAAATTGGGTTTTCTTCAGACCGATCCTGTCGAAGGACTGTATTTGAATGACTATTTTCTTGTTTGTTGAAAACAAAATATCACAAAATGATGTCACTTTGATCTAAAATATTAGATGGGGTGATAAACTGTCAAAATGTAACATCGACTAGTCATATATGAATAGATTTTCAACATGGTTGAGATTAGCATACATGTTTTCTTTTGTGGAAAGTTGCAAACCAGTAAATCAAATCCTGATATTGAGCCTAGATATACAGTGGTTTATGGTATTTAAAATGTAAAGAGTTTTTTTCTTTGAAACATCCATGTGATTATAGCAAAGCACATGTCCTAAGATTGCAAAGGATGTGGCATAAATTTCGAAATGCGCAAAATTAATAAATAAAACACCATTTGGAATACAATTATACAAATCTAGTCTAGTTTAATGATGATTCTCTTTAAGTCTAGTTTCATGTTTGTGTATTTTAATTTTTTGAACTTAGAGGATAAAATATTAAATATTATTAATCGATTTGACACTCACTTAATTTTAATGCATGCAAAGGTTTTAGAATTGTTTTATATATATCTTTTAAACGAACGTATGAAACGCAACTAATTCTAGGACATGCATGTTATTTCAAAAACATCTTGAATGCGCTTGACGTAATTTCTTATAAAAAATGCAACGAAATGATATGAACCAACCATCAAGATATTTCATCAGAGATTTCCTTCCCAAAGAATGGAACGTTGAATCGATAGGAAAGTCGAAAGCTACATGTTACCTAATTACAATATGGACGAGTTGAGTACTCGTGTGATTATGGGAACCACCAAAACGTGGTCCATGCATGTCTTTTTTTTAGCCAGCCTTTATCATCTCTTCTTTTCCCCCAAATATCCTCAGTTTTTATTCTATTATTTCGTACTAATTCTTTATTCTTATTTTATTTATATTGTCTGAAATCAAAGTGATCATAGCCTTGGAATCTCTGTAAATCATTTTCGATAGTTGATAGATTTTAAATCGTTGAATTCGCTCATTAAAAAAATCATATAGTATTCTTCTTTGTGTATTTTTAATGTTTTAATAAGAATTGACCAAAGTGTTACCGTAATATTGTCGCAGATTTCTTTTGTGATATTGTAAACTTACTGTTTTCTAGTCTGTTGTCGAGTAAGCGTTATTAGATAAGCATAAATTTGTATTGGAGGTTACTAATTTTTTCGTTTGTGTGAAAATGACAGAAAACATGATAAACAATGAAAGTAATGGTTTTGGTTTTTTTAAATAAAACAATGAAAGTAATGGGATTTTGGAGAGGATGTAAATAGAGGTGTTAAATTGGGTTCTGGTCCATGGATTCGGCCCAAGTAGATACGCTGCGGTACAGGTTTGAACTTCATAAAATTTGTTCAAATAAAATGCGGGTTTTGCGGTTCAAATTCGCGTGAAAGTTGGATTTTACGGATCAGGTCAAAGCGGATCCGCGAGTTTGCGATTCAATCCGCAGAATTTGATGTTTTTTGTAAAGCTCAAAAAATGAAATATTTTATCATAATACTAACTGTAATAGTAATACTAGTAATAATAATAATAGTATTAGTAATATTAGTAATAATAATAATAATAGTAATAGTACTAGTATTATTATTACTATTACAGTTAGTATTACTAGTACTATTAGTATTACTACTACTATTACTATTAATACTACTATTATACTATTAGTATTACTATAAATATTACTACTATTATTATTATTAGTAATACTAGTAGTATTAATAGTAATAGTAGTAATAATAGTAGTAATAGTAATAGTAGTAATACTTGTAGTAATACTAATAATAGAACTAGTAATGATACTAGTAGTAATATTAATAGTAGTAATATTAGTAATACTAGTAATACTAGTACTAGTAATAATACTAGTAGTAATAATAATAGTAGTAATACTAGTAATAATAGTAGTGATAATAGTAATAATAGTAATAGTAGTAGTAATACTAATAATAAGTAATAATACAAGTAGTAATACTAGTAGTAATATTAGTAATAATACTAGTAATAATATAAATAGTAATAATTTAAATAATACTAATAGTAATATTATTAATAATATTAGTAGTAATACTAGTAATAATATTAGTAGTAATACTAGTAATAATAGTAATAATAATAATAATACTATTAATAATACTAGTAATAATACTAGTAATAATACTAGCAGTAATAGTAATAGTAATAGTAATAGTAGTAATACTAGTAATATTACTAATAATAATACTAATGATAATATTAATAGTAGTAATAGTAGTTATACTACTAGTAATAATAATAGTAGTAATAGTAATAGTAATAGTAGTAATACTAGTAATACTATTAATAATACTAATAAGTAGTAATATTAATATTAGTAATAATAATACTAGTAATAATATTTTATTTTTCTCTTGCAGATTTTCTGGTTCTATAAGTTTAAATGTCATAAGAACTTTAAAATGAAAAAGATAAGTATAAATCTGCAGGTCAGCCCATAAAACCGTAGAGTATAAGCAGATCGGATTTAGACACATCAATTGGGATCATAGTTTATAATAGGCTAGCCTGCCAGACCCGAAAAAAATTAAAATCACATTGGATCGGGCTACTTGAATGCGGGTTGGTCGGTATGACATAAAAAAAAAAAAAATGTTAACCATCCACGCTTAAAAATAAAAAAGAAGAAGATGGGAATCTTCTGGCCGTGACAGAGGGTTTAGCTTTGTTGGCGGCAACAACAAGTGTGTGGAGAGCGAGAGGTATAAAAAGGGGTAATTTTCCTTTTTCTCAAAATCGAGAAATTAGAAAAGCGAAATCTCCGAATTGATCTTCTTAGCGTAATTTCGCTCTCGTGAACAGCGATTGTTCTGCGATTCTGCATCGATCCGTCCGTCTCCTCCGTCCTGTTATATATTTCTTTTCAGGTTAGATTTTCCCGATCCAATTTATATGTTTTATTTTGCAGATTTATTGTGTTTTTTTTCCCCTCAATATTTAGGGTTTTAAATTGGCCCTTGAGTATGTTGAATTGCGATGAAAAGTTTAGTGGGTTGTTATTTTTATTGCAATTATCGTTGATACTGGTGGATTGTGATTGAAGAGAGGTTTTTAGGTTTTGCGCACTAAGTGTTCGATGAATTGTCCAAGTCAGGTGTTCCTTTTCCTATAAGGCTATAACCGCTTATTTTCGGAACCAAAAAAAATATTTTTGTCTTGTCCTTTTTGTTCTCTAACTATTTGGATTGTTTCCCTGTCTCTTTAGTGTTTCTCTTCTGTATGTTTTTTCGTCCTTTGAGACTCATCAAGAGATGCGTTTTTGTGGCAGTAAAAAGAGTGTCTTTTTGAAGTTATTGTAGAATTAGAATTATCTGATTCTTGTTTACACATTTGCTTGGACAGTTAAGCAGTACATTTGAAATGTCCAGATTTTGGAATTTTATGATCTATTTGTTTGTATGAAACCAGATCTTCTTAAAGTAGGGAATGGTCTTGTTAGTTGAATGAAACACTTTATGTTTAGCAGATTTTTGTTTTACTTGACTTATAGTGTGCCTGATTTGACCTTCGATTTATATCTGTAGAATACCTAGACGATCACGAGGTCAAGATCAACGGCATTTTAATTTCAAGAAAGCTCAATCATTTGTGAAGATGGACCCGCAACATACCGGTGATCTATTGAAGTAATTCTCATATTTTATTAGTTTCTTTGTTACCCATAATCTGTATACTTCTTCTGACCCAAACTAAAGATCTGTATACTTAATACCCGTTGTTAAACTAATTTGTTTTTAATTGTCAAATAGGCATATGGAGAAGCAGAATAAGTTACTCAAGGAAGCTCATAAGGCCATGTCACAAGAACTCCAAAAACTCATGGTATTTTTGATTAAAGAAAACTCTTTTAACGAGCTTGTGATGTAATTAGCTTCTGGAGATCGTTTAACCGATGAGTTTTGTTCATTTTTTCAGGTGGAAGAACAGATGATGATGCGTAAACTCTATGAACTAATGCTTACTCATCGTAAGAAGAAGAAGGTATGCTCTGTTCTTGTAGACACTATTCGAAGACTTAAGAGATCTTGCTTATAAGCGAGCTTGGTTTTGCAGGAAATGGAGAAAAATCAAAACTTGTTCGAAGGAAACGAAACCGTTGAAGCTTCTTCTCTACCAATTGTTACTACTGCTGATGAAGAACATTAGAAGAACTCACTTTCTATATATAAACCAGGATGGACTGGGCTGGTGTGGGCCGGGCTTGAAAGGACTAAAGATTGGATCTTAGTTTTGAAGCTAAATCGTGTCTTTCGACAATGAATTATGAATATCGGATCTCTCTTTAGGAAGAATCTGCTACGGTGCTACCAATGTACATGTATAAACTATATATATAAATGCAATCTCTATTTCTATAGGAAATGAATTAACGTCATAAAGTAACATCAATTGCCTGCAAAAAGAATGGAGATCCTCCAATTCTCTTGGTGCTCAACATATTCTTCACTAAAAGCTTCCATCTTTTCTCATCTTTCCTGCTCTGTTTCTTCATCCTCTCCTTGAAATTACTGCAAAGAGGGACTTTGCATTGTTCCGAGTCAACGCAAATACGCGAATGAAGTTCCAGAAGCTGCCACATTCTCTTGCAATGGCTGCAACCCCCAGGGATTGATCTCAGTTTACATCCCGCCAAATGTTTCAATAGCTTCTCCAAACCGTTGCACGCTTGAAACCCGCACGAGACATGCGGGTTTTCCATCTTTGTTGGACCAATTTCTCTGCATCCATCTCTACATATATGAACAAAAGCTTCCATTGCATCGTACAGCTGAGTATATGTCTGTCTCTCTTTCTGTTTCCTGCTTCTTTGCTTCAAGCTCTGCAAACAAACAAAAAATAGAAACAAATATCATCAGAAACACAGGAAAAAGATTGAGACTTTTTCTTTTGGGTGCAGGTAAAGTTTCAAGATTTGGTTTTTCTTACGTTACTCTCGTAAGCGACAGAGCGTAAAAGCTCTTTGTGGAGACTAGGATGGCTTTGTTTCATTGCTTGCCATCCTTCAGAAGTTGATACTTCTTCAAAGCTCTTTAGAATCATTCTGTGACAGAGAAGACCAAGACGAGGAGCATCACAGAGAAGAGCTAGCTGAAACACGTCGATTACATTCTCTATGTTGAGCAAACTGTTTTCGAATTGCGATTCGCAAAATCGTTTCAAATGCGGAACCACGTAGACATGAGATAGCACAAGAAGATGCATTGCGAAATCTTCCATATCTTGCTTTTCGTAACTGCAGAAACAGAGCAAGAAACAAAAATGTTAAGTAAAGTATAACCAAATAATTTTCTAAAGTTCTCATTTTTGGATTTAAGAACTAGATGGTTACCAAGAAGAGTATAAGAATCGAATGAAAACTCGAACAGCGTCGTGAGGAACGCCGAGGATTGAGATTGATTTGCGATGAGATTTTCTCTTATCTTGCTTCATCATTCCTCTGATTACATCTGAAGCCATACCCTAATAAGAAATCAAAACAGATACTTATTTAAGATCCAATATATACTATAATGTTTATATATTTCTGAGTATTTGAATTAATCGTTCAGAGAACTTACGATGACGTTGGAATGCGCGTAAATCAAACCATTATCATCTGTATGTATCAAAACATCAGCTCCATGAGCTTCGTCGAACATACGATCCCATGAATCTCTTGTAGCTGTAGAAGCAAAGCTATGGCTTCTTTGCAAGAACATATCCGTTGATCTCTTCGACTTGGTTTTGGAATTTGATTTTACAAAAGGAGGAGGAGGTGGTGATGATGGTGGTGCTGATACATTTTCCGGTGAACATTCCGGTGAGATTTTGTCGATGTTCTCCATATCTTATTTTTTCCTTCTGTAACAAGTTAGGAAAGAAAACGGATTCAGAAACGTATGTTTCACAAAAATTGATTCTTGATGATAATGAATAATAGAATCACGATGAATAAAACATAAATTTTGGATCTAGAGAAACAGATTGATAGTCAAAATATTATTGGAATTCGATCCGAACAGAGAAAAAGAAGAAATCTATTAGAGCCAAAGAGAAAGAGAGTTAAGGACTTACAGATTTAGGATTTAAATTCGGATATTAATGATCAGTTTAATTTGTTCAACTTCACTTGGAGATCAGATTAGAAGAAAATTAAAATCCAAACAATGCTTTTTTCTTCTTCTTCTTCTACTCTGAATAACTATGGTTGTCAAAATGGATTATAATTCTGCTTTCCTTTGTAATCTTCTGATTGAGATGGAAAAATATTCGCGAGAAAATAAACGTTAAACGCAGAGAGAAAAAAATGAAAGAGAGGAGAAGACGATTTATAATCGTTGTAGGGTCTGAATATAATAATTATTTTAATGGTGGAAACTTTTAAATGTGAACTGTGTAACACGTCGAAATTGGGTCCCACAACAGCTGATTCGTTTCAAATAGAAAAGAGATAGCTACTCTGCTGATTCATATCCACGTTGGACGAACTTTTCTAATCACTCACTTTTTAATTCTATCCATTTTTAGTTCTCCTGTCTAACCATTATATCCAAGTATTTCTTAAAAAGGACTAAATTAATCCGGAATTTGCCTCTATCCATATCTATTGTTATTTAGTACTTTCAATTTTCCATGTATAGTTGTTGGCGACGACGTAGTTGGAAAAGGTACACATGTGTCTCTTTTTTTTTATAAGAATGACTCTATTTTCACACATCTTTTTTCTTGAATTAATAATTCTCTATTTCTCTTAAACGTTGAACTTTTCATTTTGTCAAAGACATGTTTTTTTTCCCTGTCGACATTTTATTGTATCTAATAATAGCGCACTTTAAATTTTCAAATCTACTATACTTTTTACTTATTTGATCATATATTTTTATAGAATATAAATTATTAGTTGAATAATTACTAATTGAATTTAGATAATTCATCTTTTATCGAAATTCCGTAAATACAAAACAACATTCTATTGTTGTTTTTTGCCAACATTCTATAATATAAGACCAACTCCATCAGCGTTTCTTTCCCATTTTTTGGCCCAGTATCCTAAGCAAATTTGATTAACAATAAATTGAAAATTCAAAAAATGTGACGGATCGATCCTTTAATAAGGGGCGCAGGAGACGGTTACGTTGGTGACGTGGAGTAAGGCTATTGGTCGTTCAATTTTTATGAGATTAATTTTTGTTTTTGTTGAAAATTCATTTCTTCGCTATTGGGAAAAGAAACCCGAGTCTCTCTCTTACCACACATCACTTTCTAAAAAAACAAAATATATTCTAAAGAGATTTAAGCTGAATTACACTACTGGAGCTCCTATAACTATACAAACATGCAACAAATACATATTTAAAACTGTAAACTGAAAGAGGTTGGGAAGTTGGATAAGAAATTTCGTTGTGGATAAAACGCTGAAAAACATATTGTTAGCATATAAGTTCTGCCCATTCAATTAGAGCATTATCGTGAAATGTCAACCGTTCAAGTATATAATTATAGTATACAGTGTTAGAATTGAAGATTCGGTTAATATTATAATGCTTGAGGTGTCAGATCTTAGTCATGTATTATTCACATAACACACATATTAGCCGATATATAACAGAAGGATTCAGCTAAAATAAAATTAAGAAAATGTGGTTGGCTTAAACATTTGTTCGAAGAAATTCATCCAAGAACATAAAAATAAGTTTATATATTACTATACTGTTTACCAAAACTAACATATTATAGTCATGTAAATTTTGAGCCATTTTAAAGCCCGACCATCATTATTAAGTATTTAGGTAAATATTAATTATGATCGGTGGGTGATATTTCATTTTTTGTTTCATTTGTCGGATTATGTACGTCAGGTTGCCTTTTGCGACTATTTTAACGATTTAACATATAGTATCTGACAAAAGGTATGATTAAAATAAGTGAAAAGTGATTAATAGACTACTCAATAAAAAAGGTGAATAATAATTTCAATATTGAGTTTTCACTGACTCAGCCAAAAAAAAGATGATAGAGCTCTTTAAATATCGCTCTTTAAATATCACGAGTGTGTAGTAAGTTGCTGGCACGGTGACCTCTTCGTATATTTCATGGGGCACTTTCTCTTTTGTAGTGCATAAATATGACAAATCAGTAAAATTATAAATAATACGACCTATAATTGTGATTTAAAATTTAACCTAAAAGCCTGATTTTTTTTTTTTTAAATTGTGATTTAAAATCGCACACACTTTTAACAAAGCAAGGCAAAACTCAATATAATTGAACCAATTAAATATACAAACTTATAAGCGAATATCGTTACATCGTTATAAGAAAACAAACACAGCTATTTTGTCACATGGTTTCACGATTTACACCCCAAATATTGAGAGGATTAAAATGCCACGAACCATTCGATATTGCCTCGAAACATTTTTTTTTAAACTATAACCATGGAAAGAGGAGAAGTTTCCTCTCAAACAAAATATACTACTGAGTTTTTCAACTATAATGGATCTCAATTAGTAGATTGCTTATAATGACAAATGACTACTAGTTAGCTATCGCTTACACATGGGGATGTGACAAAATCAATTTAACGGCCCGGGCCTGTGCCATGTCATTCATATATTATGGGCCTAATTTTATTGAGAAGCTTTGATAAAAGTTGGTCTACGTTACGAATTTGTTTTAAGCCCATATATGAAATGCTAAAACTAAACCTAAATATACGGACGACAAAAAAAAACCTAAATATACGAATAACACTAAGCTATTTTTCTTTGGTCGAAACGTAAAACTGATTAATCATCAGAAGAATAACTAATTACAAAAATTTGAGAGTCAGAAAGAATGGACCATCAAAACACTAACCTTTTCGGGTAGTTGTAATTTCAAATAGCACAATTATATTGTAATTTATTAACAAATTATTTGATTACCATTACTTTTTGATCTGTCAGTATAAGTTCTTTTAATTTTAAAAAAAAATTATAGTCAAAAGAAAATTAAAAATACTAACGAGTTTTCTTTTTTTTTTTTTCTCAAAAGAAAGCAACTAGTTACAAAAAACTTCATAAGAGTATGTATGTGTGTTTGTAAGGCCCTTAAACAAAAAAACAGTATGTATGTTTGTAATCAAAAATTATTCTAAGAAAAAAATCTCCAGAGATATTTAGTTGAATAGAAAGGGCCTGATAGAGTGTATGTGTAACTAATAATGCGAGGAAATCAGACAAATTGTAATAAATAATATTTGGTGAAGCCTCTTGTTGTTGTTTGTAACCAAACGGGAATTGCTTTCTTGTCTTCTTCACCTACATTACATACTCTAATCAATTATAGAACATAGCCAACACATATACAGATTCGATAAAAAGAGAGCAAACGTATATAGAATTCTAAATTATTTACATCTTTTTTTTTAGCGATTATAATTCCATGGCAATGCTTGTTGTATAGATAGATATTGTTTCCTTATGAATAAGTTACATGAAATTTATAAAGTAATGTTCGTGTAACAATTAAATGAGCAATGTTGTAGACTGGTGACTCTAACGCGTGAACTAGAGAGTTCACACAAGTTTCAAGATTTCTTTTATTAATTTGGATAAGCTAAAATGTAGTGATTTATTTTTATCATTTTTATCTTATACACAGACCATAGTGGAACAAACATGACATTTTTTTTACTGATAACATTAATGGTTAATATAATTGCAAACCGTACACAACGGATATGAATCTTGAGAATGAGCTGGCTGATAATTTTGTTTTACTCATCTGAGTACGTGAAAAAGTGACCATCGTGTTTGTGAGCAAATATATTTATTTTATACTCTTTAATAATGATTGTAAAAAATATGTTTTTTTTTTATTGTCGGCCTAAAAAATATGTTTCTAACACAGATGGTACTTATCAAGCATTTAAAATAAACACAAAAATGTTCAAAAAAATAATAGATATGTATTTATTCATAGACTTAATATTCTCACGCTTCCCACCTAACACTTGTTTTAGTTGTTACACTACAAAAAAAAAAAAACCCGATAAAAATTGAAATTTTTTACTTATCCAAGCTGTACTCAAGTTATAAATCGGACACACGTAAATAGAAATATTTGGTCAAACTTTGACCATCTTGGAATCGTAAAAAAACTTGGCAGTCAAAGGTTCCACTTAGATGGGCACTAAGCCCCAAAGAAATTCAACACATGGCACAGACTATATGGGCACAGTAATTATATATTTTTACTCTTTAGGGAAACTTATCTACATGATATCATATGGTTTTATTTTTATGATTTTTGGATTGTTACTAGTTAGGCAGAGGTGGAGCGTCTTCTTCTTCTTCGTTTCTGAGGCAATCCAGCCTTTCGCACGTGACCGACGCTCCTCCACTGTAGTTATTGTCACGTGCGCCATCATTCCATCATCAATTTTATATCATATCATCCCTACAATAATATTTGGTAGTGTATATGTCATTTTTAGTCCATAGAGGGTTTCGGGACCTTCTTGTGGAAATAGAGGGACCGATTTCTTTTGTTTTTTGCTATAATATAAACAAGACTATTCTACCTCGAATGGGATAATAAGTATAATAAAAAAATATGTGTGTGTAACGTGTTAGGTATCCTAGATTCGTTAGTTCATTAATAATGGGATCAAATTATATTTGGTTACGAATTCTGTTTTTTTTTTTTTAATTCATAAGAATTCACTATATTCAAATTGAACTATACCTTTTCTCGCGTTTGGTTTGTAAGTGATCATTACGAACAATACATTTTATTTTCAACTACTAACCTTACATTTTATTTTCAACTGTGTAAAATTGACCGCAAAACTCCTTCCTTCTCAACATGGAAAGACAACCATAGAATGAAAAAAAAAAAACAGCACGAGAAAACAAAAATAACTCTGTTTCACCGAAATCGACAAATCAATTGGCATAACGATCCGAAATATATATATACAGTGCCGTGCCTAGGATTTTGGAGGCCTTAGACTAAAATTTAAATGTGGTCATTTTAATGAAATTATATAAAAAATCAGTAATTAAATGTACAGTAATATTTTTTAAAAATTTGGTGAAAAAATAGTTATACTTTTATGCGGCTGAGGATTGAATTTGAACAAAATAAAAATATGCACAAGACAAATTAGCCAACTAAGAAAACTATAATTCACTTGTTAAATGTGACCTCTAAACTTAATAAATAAGATGTGGTATTAGGCAATTGCCTTTTTCATTTCACTGTAAGCACGGCTCTGTATATATATGATGCAAAAAATTATCCTCCAAATTCATTACGGATGTTACTATTTCCGGTAAGTCTTGGAAAATGCAGATCACATCTTCTAAAGTCATAGATTAGGTTAGTAGTATATTATAGTCTGTAAAAGAGTTTTGATTAATTTTGTATATTTCCGTCTGTCACACTAATGTATCAACGATTTTTATTTGTAAAACATTATGTAATAGTTTTATTGTATATATAATATAGATACACATAGAAATGCACAATAATAAAAGTCAGAAGTTAAAAAAGAAATGCATAATAATCGATAAAAATACACAATGTGAGAATATTACTTGTATCTAGGGGGAAATCGAACAAATGCTGATAACATACACATAGAAGTTGCAGATTTTGGATCTTGCGTCTTCTTGGTTTTATACTCTTCTCTTACAACTCGCCTTATAAATATTAATATATTATGATGTAATTTATTATCCTATAGATTGAATGACTCGGCTCCAAAGCCATGCGCAAAATCAAATATTACTGTATACAGAGTTTTTTTTTTTTTAATTAACGAGAAAGTGAAACCAGCCTCATTTGCGGATTTAAAATCTACTCACGATTACATCACATCACAAGCTATTAAAATGTTTTTTTGTCTTAACATCATATATATAATTCCACTTGATTCAATTTAATTGGATAATCGGTTATTTATGTTTTCATCGAATACATAACCTCGCTTATACCAGATTTAATAATTTCATGGAATAATTTATTTGGTTTATTTGGATTAATAAGAAATTACAATACCAAGTCAAAGGTTCAAAATATGAAAAATGCTATTTTTTACGCTAGATTAAATTCATAGTTATATTTTTTTTTATAAAAAGGGATGACAAATTTTGGAGACAAAATATAGCTTAAAAAATCTTGTAGACGGTTTTGTCATTCATTTAACTAGCATGGAAATTGTGATTTTTGACATAATATGTTATTTTATGTGTATTTAATTATTAATTGAGTATTATAAATTAACTTTGTTAACACGCATATAATAAATTAGACATTTATCTAAAAGTTGTATTTTATCGGATAAAATAACATATCACAGAATATAAATCACGTTTCTTATATCAATTAAATGAAGAGTAGCAAAGATAAAATTTATTCTATACTATTTAAAAACAATATGTCACAACATTCTCATTTGGCCTAATTCTCTCTTAGAGTTATTGCCCTTTGTAAAACTAACTATGGGAGATGACCTACATCGTCTTTTATATCCCATGTTTGATTACTATATTTTCTTTGGCAACATAATAAGTTAGATCAATGGATATAAATGGTTAGATCGGAACTGTTGATTTACGATGATAAATAATATATAAAAAAAAATCGACGATTTATCTGATCCTGCCTCCTATTTCTTCTTGTAAGCATCAAAACTCAGAAGGGTACCAAAATCTCAAAACTCATGGTAAGTTTGTTCTCTTTTTTTTTTCCCCAAGTGGGACATACCTTTTTCCAATAAATATACTCATACGGTATATGTTTGTGTCTACCTACAATCTAAAATACGTAGTCTACTCATCTTAACTACGTATAACTTTTCATAGACATAGTTCGTGTATCGTCACATCTACAGAAGTCACACTATACTAGCTGACCAAGAACGATGGAAGTCATCACTCATTAATCGTTTCCACGAACAAAAAGTTTTGCAAAGAATAATCAAATGTAATACAAAAGAAATATAAGAAAATCTCAAAATGACATAAGATAATTAATAATGAAGGACATAACGGATATAACAATGTGGAGCTAATTTGAATTTCAAATTTCAAAATGTTGAGAGGAATTATTGAGTGGGAATAATGGTAAGGTGTTTTCCCCACCAATGCCTAGAAACATTATTGTTAATCACTTTCGGTTTCTGGAACAAATTTAAGATCTGTTGAACTTTATTTTCGTCCAATAAATGGAAAATATTAAAACTAACAGTTCCTCCGCTTCCTTTGTCCAAAAATAAAACTATTCCTCTGTTTTCTAATTTCTATTCACGATCTACTATATTATACATATTAATTCAAACTTCTTAAAACACACTACTGAAATAAACCACAAAAGCAACAAAGAGAGTACGTGGAATACACTACTGAGAAAAATTTAATTACAATGTGTTTAATTGGAATGGGATGTAACTTTCTGCAAAAATTTCAATGGGATCATTATTCCTATTTAATTACTGATTGATCAAAACTCAATGGATTGTATAGATCTTATCTCAGAGTCAGAAACGAATTCCATATACAGCAACAAGTTATTGGATTTTTTTTCCTAGTTCCGCTAAATATTCTGCTAAATCAATGTATACGAATTCATTGTTTTAGTTTGTTATTCAGTTAAACTAAACTTATATTTTCATTTAATTTTGCTAAAAAAGTTGGTGCCAGTTAGTTGCCGTGATAAACTTATGTTCTAAATAATGTGCTTTTATTTGAATAATCGATATGTAATTTCGGAACAAAATTATAGAACGGTTGTTCTTGGCTTTCTTAGATGGAAAACTTATATAAATTCTACGGATTATTAGTTATCAAAATAATACTATATTATAGTTAACAGCTACTTTCATGAATCTAACAACTTTTTTCTCATCTATTCATCATATAAAAATTTTAATCTTAGTTTTAAACATTATTACATTTTTATATCTCTAATAGCCTACCATATACACTCTCGTTTCAAGAGTTCTCCCATCCAACTATTTAAAATTGGAAAATAATTATAAAGTTCTCATTTATATACAATTTGGGTTATCGGTGTTCAAATCAAATGTTCAGGCTAGGTGACATGGTTGGAAAGGTTTTTGATACAAAAATTGATATGATTGATGAACTTGATTTTTTAAAAGATAGTATAAACGTTTACAATGTTTGATGAGTGAAAATAACGATGTTTTTGGTATAAAAGCATTTAGTGCATATAATTTAATATAGAATGTAGTTTATCAATTATTTTGACTTTTAATCAAGCTTTTCAAACTTTTTAATGGAAATAACACAGTACTTCTAAGGATAACCTAGATAGATAATTTTGATAACAAAAACAATACTATTAGATCAAAGTAATGTTATTTTAAAAAAAAAACCATAATTGACTAGCATCAAAAAGTCTTCAAGCACAAGTAATCCTGATGGAAATAATAAAACGAGTAATCATTCCCTTAAAAAATGTGATTATATATGTGTCGACCTAAAAAAGGTGATTATACATGTTAAATACGTTAATGAACAAATTAAAACGCAATTTATATGATAATAATAATTTAATTTAAATGTAACCGCTAAATAACGCCCCCTCTCTCTCCCCCACTTATTTTTGGCGGCACCAGACGCGGGAGACTCTCTCTCTCCTCTCTCCCACTCTCTCTCTCCTTCCTTTCTTTCTTTCTTTGTTTTTTCGCTAGATTTCATCACTCTTTAAAAAAAATTTCCAATCGAGTATGGAAGAAAAATCAAATACGAAGATTTAGCTGCTAAATTCACTGCGATAACAAAGTCAATAAACCCTCCCTCTCACCCAACTCTCTCTCTTTTCCATTTTTATACATCCTTTTGATGTGTACGGACACACCGAAGAAGACTTCTATCTCCGCCGCCTCCGTCGTCGTCACCGCCGCCGTTAGATGGATGAGCCTAGAGACAGTCTCGCTCTCTCCAATCTCCTCCTCTGCCACGAATCCGAGTCTTCTCTAAACCAAGAAGGAGACGATGAGACCAATCTTAGGAGATCTGAGCAGCCTCACTGTTTCGTCGCTGCTACAACGATCGGAGACGATGATGAAGATTATGTGGCGGAGCTTGTTCGCAAAGAGAATCTGCGATTCGAAGCCGAACCCACGAAAACGACGTCGTCTTTCGACAGATTGATTGCAATCGATTGGATTCTCACTGTCCGTAACACTCAAAAAAAAAAAAAAAAAATTCCCCCTTTCGATTTCTGAGTGTAACATTCTTCTTCCTTGGTCTAATCGCTTCTTCGATTGATTAGATTTGGTTTGATTTTCAGACAAGGACGAGATTCGGATTCCAACATCAAACAGCATACATTGCAATATCATACTTCGATCTGTTTCTGGAGAGGAGATTCATCGGTGTAAGTCTGTTTGATTTGGTTTCCAATTCCTCAAAATTCCTCTCTTTCAGATTCTCCAATCTGACTCAAGAATTTCTTTTTAGTTGCAGAGAGATGAATCATGGGCGATTCGATTGTTATCAGTGGCTTGTTTATCACTAGCTGCGAAAATGGAGGAACGAATTGTTCCTGGATTATCACAGTACCCACAAGATCAAGATTTTGTTTTTAAACCCGATGTGATTCGTAAAACTGAATTGATGATTCTATCGACATTGGATTGGAAGTTGAACTTAATCACTCCTTTTCATTACTTGAATTACTTCGTTGCTAAAATCTCTCAAGAACAAAACCAATCTGTTTCTAAAGAGTTGGTCTTGTTAAGATCATCCGAATCTCTTCTCGCCCTAACAAAAGGTAACTAAAAAAGGGATCTTATCTATTACACATTTTTGTGAAGATAAAACTCATCAATCACATTTTTATTTCCTTTTTTGATTAGAGATAAGCTTTACGGATTATCGACAGTTCGTTGTTGCTGCTGCTACTACAATGTTGGCTTCTTCTACTTCATCGAATATTAGATTGACGAGAGAAGAAATGGCGACCAAGTTTGGATCAATCTCGTGGTGGACTTCTAATGAGAACGTACACATAAGTCTTCTCCTTTTTAATGGGTTCGATCTCCGTTGTTTGATCTCAAGATCATCAAGTGTTTAGGAATGTTTGTTTTGTTATTTGGTTGCAGGACAATGTATATTCTTGTTATCAGAGAATGCAAGAGTTTGAGGAGAGGAAACATATGACACCGCCGGAATTAGCGGATTCCGGCGATATAAAACCGGCGGTTGCTTCAGGAAGTGGGGCTAAACGCCGACTGTCTTTTGATGATTCCGAACAAACTTCTCCGGCCAAGAGAATGCGTAGGCTCTGAAGAGGGTTTCTTTCTCCTTGGAGTTTTGGTTATAAATTATATTGATTTTGGTATTTTTTTGGCAACATATTGCTTTGGTTTTTATATTCAATCATTTGATTATAGAGGAAAATGGTCTGAATACAATGGTTATTTCATATGTTTGAAGTAACTCTCATATAGAGGTTCATATAAAAAGTCTTTGATGATTCATTTCTGGGGGTAAAATGTTACTATCAAAACATTGGGGTATTTTATGAGGGAATTAAATAAATATGAGGGCTGAATGTAAATATAATAAATAAGAGAAACAGAAACAGTGAATAGGTTTAGGCCAATAGTTGTAGTGCCAGTGATTTGGTTTCATGGGTCTCTCTTTTTTTATTATTTTTTAATGTGATTTTACAATTTTTTGTCAAGGAAAATATCTGTTTCTTGCATGAAAGTCTGTCATTTTTCATCCCTTAACTTTCAAAAGGGCACATTCATAGCAAATGATAAATGAAGAAACTCTTTTCAAGGTTAAAAAAAAATAATAATATTTGACGTAGTTGTTTCATTCATCTTTATTATTAACATTTTGGATCATGTCTAAACGGAATCCATCTATATGCTACCTAACATTTTCTGAACATGAATAGCTTAGAAATAAATAAAACAATTATCATTTAACATATATATTTCAATTAGTATCTCAACAAACAAATCATCAAATCCATTTTGTTATTCACTTCTTACATAAAATTTCTACCAAATTCAATTAAAAAAAAATCAATAGTACTTTTATGATTTTATCAAATGACAATAAGTCGGGCACAATAAATAATTTAAAAACTCTTTTACAGAAAAATAGATTATTAAATTTTTTAGTTTATTGTAATGTCCAAATAACTTTTTTTTAGCATTTTAGAGACCAACTACTTGTAGTGGAGGCACTTTGGATCAATAATGGTTGGATCTAAAGATGAAGCCCTAATATACACAGAATATGTATTTTTTTTATACGGAAAATTGCATGTGATGTTTTCAAGTTTTTGTACTCTGTAGTCTCTAGTCTACGCGCAAGTCAAAAGGATATCGTACATATAAGATCGTCTAAAAAAATAAAAATAACATTTTCAATTGATTGCAGTTGGAAAAAAAAACATATATATTTAAAAGACCAACCCAAGAAAGAATCCAACGACTTTGTCGAAGTGAGAAACAACTGTCTTATACAAGTAGAGATCCAAAGTTTGGTTTCACTAATTAAAGCTTTGATTCCAATATATGATTAGAAACGAATTAAAAACATAATAGTACTTATCTATATATATAAGTAAAAATCTGGTAGATATACGGTTAAATCGGGATATCACATTGAGCAACAATACAAGGATTGCCCGCGAAATGATATTTACGGCCCAGATGTTAAAGTTCTACGGGCTCACATATGGAAATTAGAGTGTGCACCGAAATTAAGACACTTTATTTGGCAGGCTATATCTGGATGTCTATCCGTGTCGGCTAGATTACGGACACGTGGAATAAAATGTGACACTCAATGCGCACGATGTGGAGCAGAGGAAGAAACTATTAACCATGTTCTATTTGAATGCCCCCCTGCCCTGCAGACTTGGGCTATGTCTCAGATACCAACCCCTCCGGGCGTTTTTTCAATGACTTCGGTTTTCTCAAATTTCGACCATCTGTTCTGGAGATTGCCAAAGAATTCTAACAATTCTCAATTTCCATGGATTGCGTGGTATATATGGAAAGCAATAAATGAGAAAGTTTATTCGAATATCGATGTGGACCCAAGGATTACTTTAAAAAAGGCAGAAACTGAGGCGGTACTATGGACAGAGGCTCAAACGAATGAGCAAGATTTAGGGATACAAGACAATAGGAACATTTTGATGTCACAACCAATGATATATGAGGGTTGGTGGTGTTTTATTGATGCTTCTTGGAAGGCAACAGATTTATCATCGGGATTGGGATGGTATTATTTCCAGGACAGGGTTAAGGACAGAATAATGGAAGCACGAAATGTCACACGGAGTCTATCACCTCTGCATGCAGAGATGGAAGCCCTAATTTGGGCCATGCTTTGCATGATCGAGAATCAGAAGACAGAGGTCGCTTTTGCAACAGACTATTCGGATTTGGTGCAGATGGTGTCTGAATCCGCCGAATGGCCAGCTTTTGCTATACACTTGGGGGAAATCGTGAAGATCAAGGAGCGGTTTAGTTTCTTTTCACTATCACACATTCCACACGCGAAGAATAGGGAGGCAGATAACCTAGCAAGAAGTGCTCGGATCTATCCTTGTGATGTTAATTATGTAAACTTGGTACCTCCGGTTTGGTCTGTCAAATCGTTATAGGTATCTAGGCTGTTGACAAAAAAAAAAAGTAAAAATCTTACAAATTAAGAAATAAAAAGTACTGACAGTATGTAGATAATGTGTGTGTGGGGTTTAATGCCAATGTTGTTTTTTTTTTAAGAAATGCCAATGCTGTTGCTCTAAGAGAGATCTGCAACAAGTCAAGAAGCATAAAGAGTCAAGCTTTTTTTTCACCAAGAACCAGTAACTGCTTCTAAAATTTTTGCTCTCGTTCATTGAATATTTAGTTGTAGGTCCCAAGTGCTATATTTTTCTTCTTATTATCATTGGGTTAGACCATTCAGTTTCTGATATTTCTTGTTTTATATGTGAGATCCATGGGTTACGCAATTTAGTTACAATTGTCACATTGGTTAGGAGATGGATTAACCAATGAACTTGGAAAATCCAAAGTTCACAAAAGCAGTAATATTTAAGTAAATGATATTTTTCAGTCTAGATACTAGTCATATATTCTATTAACGTTTTAGAACCATTGTGAAATTATTCGTTCAATCACAAATTTAACAATTGATGTAGTATACTTTTCGGGTCCTAATGTTCAGGTACCTTAAGAATTTAACGCAAATGGCTATATAATACTCTTTTTTTCCTCTATACAATCGTTTTACTTCATTTATATAATAAAAATGATCACATTAAGAATCGTTTTTAACTTTTTATTAAAGAACAGTACCTCTTATTTATTATACAGTTTTGACAGGCTTTTAAATTGTTATATGGAATCAGTTTTGAACGATGAGATAATGTCAGGAGAAGAGAGGCTCCACAAAAAGCCATATGATGACTTCATTGAGAGATTTTCTTAGTAACAAATTACAGTCTGGCTAGCTAACGATTCTGTACCCAAAAATCATTTTACTTATTTTCAGCCTTTTGCTTACTCTGTTTTCTTCAATGTCCTTTTCTGTATTTTTGCGTTTCTCATTCAATACTGACCCAAATTAGAATCCAAAAGATAAAAGAAGAGTCGTTTCAAAGAAACAGAGAGTTTTACAAAAATGGAGGAATCAGAAATCGGATGTTTGTCAATATATGGCCCTATCAAACTTAAAGTCAACAATGAAAAACAGAGTAAATTGCAAAAGATAAAAGAAGTCATTTCAAAGAAACAGAGAATTTTACAAAAATGGAGGAATCAGAAATCAGATTTTTGTCCTTAATATATAGCCCTATGAAACTTAAAGTCAACAATGAAAAACAGAGTAATTGCAAAAGGCAAAAACTTTGTCAGAAGACTTTCTGTTCTAAAATTCGAAGAAATTGTTCTAAAAGATAAGAAGAGCTCTTTAAAGAGCGTTTCTTCGAGCCAAGTTTTGATGGATCGATCAAACAGGAATCGTCTTTAACCCTGCAGCGATGGGCATACCCAAGAAACCAATGATGATACTGAAGATCCATTGGACTACTGTGAGTGGTGTTGTGCTTGCAAATGTGCCTAAGAACTCAATGATTATGATCTGAAAGAAAACCGTTGCACCGATCACAACCACAAAGACGTAATTGTCCAATATTCCCTTGAAAACATCGATCTCTTCCATCTCTCGCGAGCTTATCTCGTTAAACACCTGGACATTTCAGACCAAAGTCATGTCAAGATTCAGTCAACAATCTCTCTGTCCAGCTCAAGGATTATTATAGTGTGTTCTTTTTACCTGACAGAAGACGAAACAGTTGAAGATGAGAGTGTTCAACATGAGAGTTGAGTCAGGACCCTCCAGACCAAACATAGACTTCCCTTTGGCTTGGAGAAACCAAATGACTATGAATTGATACACAGCTTGTCCTAAAATGTTTCTCCACATCGCATTAGTGATGAAATTCCCTCTCCTTCCAACGGGTAAACGCTTCATCAGCTCGTTATTTGGTGGCTCTGTAGCCAAAGCAAGAGCTCCAAGTGTGTCCATGATCATGTTCACCCATAGTAGTTGAACAGCAGTTAAAGGAGCACTTCCTGAAAATTGTTATCAAGAGATGTGTTAAATTAAAAATCCGAAATTATTGTTCAGTGGATTGAATCGGTATTCTAACTCACTCACCGGTTAAGCAAGCTGAAGAGAAGTTAACAATCAGAGCCACAACATTAACTGTAAGCTGAAACTGAACGAATTTCTGGATGTTTATGTAAACAGAACGTCCCCATTTAGCAACTGTGACGATCGTGCTGAAATTATCGTCGAGAATGATGACATCAGCGCTCTCCTTCGCCACCTAGAAGGTTATAAAAGAAAGAACTTTTAGATTCTTTTAGCTCACAAATCACAGTTTAAGAAATCTTCTTATATACTCACTTCAGTTCCTGCAATTCCCATTGCTAATCCAATATCAGCTTCATGAAGTGCAGGTGCATCGTTTGTTCCATCTCCAGTCACAGCAACAACTTCATCAAATGTTGTCCTTAATTGTTTCACAAGTGTATGCTTATCCATTGGAGAAGAACGAGCCATCACCTGTATAAAAAGGGAAAGTCTTGTAATACGCATCGGAAACCCAAAAAAGAAAAAAAAAAAAAAAGTCAAATGAAGTCACCAATACAGGAAACAGCAAAGTACTGTACCTGAATCTTTGGAATCAGTTCTAGTAACTCTTCTTGACTTTTCTCTCTGAAAACCGGACCTTCGATTGCTATACCGTCATCAGTTAAAATCCCACATTCTCTTGCAATTGCTTTAGCGGTGTTAATGTTATCTCCTGTAACCATTCTTACAGTGATTCCAGCACGGCGACAAAGCTCAACAGATTCTTTGACTCCAGGACGAACAGGATCTTTGATTCCAACAATCCCTACACAAGTAAATCCTGAAGCAGGGATTGCTTCATCCGGCGAAAACCCGTTTTCAAGATCCATGTAAGCAAGGCAGAGAGTGCGAAGAGCTTCATTAGCAAACTCGTTGATTGTAACATTCAGATACTTGATTGAGTCTTCATCAAGCGGAACAACCTCACCGCTCGAGTTTACAACTTTATCGCAAGCAGCCAAAACTATCTCGGAAGCTCCTTTCGTGTGAGCACGTAGACCTCCTCCCTCGGGAAGTTCGATGACAACTCCCATTCGCTTCTTTGTGGAGTTAAAAGGCTCAACTTTGACCACTTTATAAGACTTCCTCTCTTCTTGGAACTTACCACCAAGAGATAATCCAAGTTCCAATATAGCAGTCTCTGTTGGCGTCCCCAAGATCTCGGTTTTCCCATGTTTGTTCACAACAACTTCGCCTCCCGTGTTGTTGAAGATCGACTGAATCAACAGTTTCAGAGCAGATTCCGGGATTTCTGACTGCAAGCTAGAGCCTTTATTTGCTACATCTTGCACGTTCATGCAAATGCAAGACTTCACGACCGTCATGTGATTGGTTGTGAGTGTACCAGTCTTGTCGCTGCAAATCGTTGTTGCAGATCCCATAGTCTCACAAGCTGCTAAATGACGGACAAGAGCTTTATCGTTCATCATTTTCTTCATCGCAAACGCAAGACTAAGAGTCACAGCTAAAGGCAAACCCTCAGGAACCGCAACGACAACAATTGTCACAGCAATTGCAAAGTACTCCAAGAGTTCCAATGCTTCATCACCAGACCAGATCCAGTGAGTCCCCGTTGAGAGTTTCCTCATAAACATCCCTTGCACCAAAACAGCGAAAGTAACGACAGCAAAGAAAAGACCGATTTTGCCAATGATGGTAGCAACTCCATTGAGTTTCACCTGCAATGGAGTTTCGTCATCTCCTCCTTCGGTCAAAGTCGCCATTAGCTTTCCCCATTGAGTCCTCATCCCGACCGTTGTGATCAACATCTTACAAGATCCATCTTGCACTTTGGTTCCAGACAAAAGGAAAGGATTCTGCGCATTCACCATCACAGGCTCACTCTCACCAGTCAAACTCGATTCATCGATCACCACAGAGAATCCCGAGAGGAAAAGACCATCAGCAGGAACTTGATCTCCAATCGCCAGATGAACAATGTCACCAGGAAGCAAGTCATATATCGACATTTTCTGTCTAAACCCATTCCTCGTCACCTGAACAGTGATCTTCTTCTTCTCCTTGTCCAAATCACGGAACTGCAAAGACTGACGATAATCGCTAGTCGCTGTAACAAACACAACCAAGAGAATACTAGCCACAATGCCAAGACCGTCATGTGAGCCTTTAGGCCATCCTTCAGTAGCTATTCCCACAATCAAAGACACAAACGCGCAAACACCAAGAATCATAAGAGTCATGTCTTGAAGAGCTTCCCAAACAAATACCCAGAAACTACGCAACTCGCTCTCTGCAAACTTGTTGATTCCGAAAAGCTCTTGCCTTTGGGATAACTGACCAGCATCTGTTGAGAGTCCATCGGTGGGAGATGCCTTGAGCTTACCTGCAAGCCCATCAACTCCACCATGGAACTTCAGTTTCTTAATGTCGTGACTTTCGACGATTGATCCTAATTCGTCAGCGCAAATCTCAAAGCCTGCAGCTTTGACATCTTCAGGGACAGTGTAGTCACTTGGAGCCACACCTACAAACCATTACAATGAACTTATATGATAAACTTGATGAAACAAACAAAATCCAACCTTTGACACAAATTAAAAAAAAAGCTGTAAACTTTGACATAATTAATCTAAGAGAAACTTACCAGAGATAAATTGGAAGGCGGCTTTAGACACGAGAACTGCGATCCTTAATTTCTCCTGAATATAGAAAGTTTAGAAGATCCTTAATCACTAGCTAATCTTCTATAATAATACGCTAAACACTTAACTAGTTTCTAGGAAATCATTTCAATTTGTCATTTACAACAACGAGCTAACAAAAGAAAAAATAGAAATAAACAACCTCTATTTCGAAGACTCAATAAAATCATGAAAGCTCAACTCAGAAAGGAGCAAATATCACATCAAAGATGGAGACAAAACCTGATTGGTGCGGCGCATCGCGGCGGCTTCATAGCGTTTAGAGAGATTAGCGGTGAAGCGAAAGCGACGTTTAGGGTTCTTGACGATGCCGCAGAGATTCCGCCATTTCTCGAGCGCTTCCTCAGACGAATGCTTCGCCTTAACATCGAAATTCTCATTCAGGTAACTCTCCATTTTCTTCCTCCTCCTTCTATCTTCTCCTTCTTCCTTCCTCCAGCTTCAATGGCTTTTACTTTTTGTTTTGGTTGTGCTCTGTTTCAATTTTATTCAGCGTATTTGGTGGGAGGAGACAAGCACAAAAACTTGTGGGTGAAGAAGAAAAATCGGAAGCTTTAAATGGAGAAAGGTAAAGTTTTTTTTAAAGATCTGAGCTATTTGTGTTATTGATTGACCGAGTCGTTGAGTTTAATAACATTGGCTGAAGCTGAGTTGACTCGTTTTTAATTCGTGTACCCAACCAAGCATCTCCGATTCTCTATCATTTAACGACAACATTCGTTTATTACAATAATAATAATAACATGCACTAGGCATTAATAACAAAACGTTAAATAATGCTTGAAATATTCATGCAGCGCATGAAAGGTACACGATGCAGTTTTGTTATTATTATTTCCACACATATTGGGTTTATCATACATGATTTATTTTGTTTTCCAAATCTATTCAATTAAAACAGAAACACATTTAGTGCTTGCATCCAAACACTTCTAAAATCTTTTTTATAATATTTTTTTTATATATTTAATTTTTGAAAAATTAGTTATTAATTTAAATATTTTTAGATTTTTTAAAATCTAAGTCATATTTAATTTAAATTTATAATTATTAGAAATTTAATTAAATTTAGTTACAAAAATTTGCATTTAATTTAATTTAAAAAATTCAAAAATAATTATAATTAAATTTTACTACAAAAATTTAGATAATAATTTTAATACTTTAAAATTCCAGGAGAGATTTAATTTAAAATTTAAATTTAAATAATATTTTTATAAAAATTCATAGTAAATAAATAGTTTATCGTATTTTATCATAATCAATTGGTCTAAAATATCAAATATTTGAGATTAATAAATATTTATATTATACAATAATATGATCGAGCTGATTAGAGTTATATATATATATATATTTAAGGTCCATGAGTTAATTTATTAAAACATGTAAGATATTAAGATGATTTGAGACAATTAAACTAACAGGTTAACCAGTTTATAAATATATATATACACATTTTTTAATAGCACAAATAGTAAATAAATATCTTATTATATTTTTTCATAATCAATTGGTCCAAATATTCCATATTAATAAATATTTATAGGGTTATACAATTATAATTATAATCTTATACGGGTTAGTTTTTCAAAACATGTAAGATATTAAAAATGATTTAAGACAACTAAACGGATGGATTAACAAATTCATAGATATATCGATTTTCTATGTGTAAATCTAAATTCACATAATAACAAAGTTCATAATTAACATTAGATTAATATATACTTAATTAACGCATACTCTTATTCTACTAATATATAAATTTTACTGTTTAAAATTAAAATATGATAACAATTTTTTGATTTAAAAAAAATAAATAACAAAAACAAATTATATCTAAACAAAAACGATAAATGCAACTTATATTAGAAATAAAAAATAAAACATTCTCGTGCAGACGCACAGGGTTAAAATTTAGTTTGTGATTAAAGGTGGCTGATTTATGGATTGATGAGTTATGTGATTTCGGACAAAAAGTTAAAAGCTTTTGGATTTATTTAAATAGATGAAAGTTTAGATAATTTTAAGCTGGTTAGATTTCTACGTATTTTGCCGATAAAAACAAGGTTTCTCGTATTTTTAGTAACATTTTATATACTTAGCAAGCAAGATTACATATATTGCTTTGATTACATTTTTTTTTAAAGCAATGATTTTTCTTTCCTTCTACTTTGGCTGGTAACGTTGATATCACTTTGACCAAATTGAATGAAAATGTGGGAAAAAGTGGGGCGAATTTTCACAAAAACAAAAAGTGGAGGGCGGTTATATAAAGAAATAAACAAGAGGAGGATCGTTGACCGAGACTCTTGCAAAAACCCGCCACTTCGGGACACCACGTTGGACCACTCCTATTGGTTCCGTTTGGACCAAAGACATTGTTTACATTGTTCATGTACCATTGATTGCTGTTTTTTTTTTGTTCAAAATACCATTGATTGCTTATGTTCCATCCCAATTGGACAATTGGTTTTTATTTTTATATACTCCTCCAATTGAATAATGAGTTTACCTTAAAAGTTTAAGAAGTTGGTATGCAGATGCGGGCTTTGTAAGGGCTTTTATTGGGCTATAAAAGCGTCCTTCTCAGGTAGGGGCTTTTCGCGAGATTGTATGTGGCTTTCGATTTGTATATTTGACGAATATTCATTCTCCTTGATCATCTCCATTTATCAACTTACTTTAAAGTTACACATCTTTTAGTCTGTGTAAAATTCACAGAGAACAATGCAGCAAGAAATTGAACTTTTACGTGATTCATATAGTTTTGAGTGTTTGTTACCAATTGCAAAGGTCAATTTCATCACTACCACAAACTCAAAACCTGTGAAAATTGAGGTTAGATTATTGACTCTAATTCCTCAAAGCGGCAAATGTTCTAAGAAGCTTATAAGTTCAGATTCAAGCAATTCATCAGAGAAAGAAAAAAATAAACTAACGCAATATCTGAGATCATTAATCAGAATATAACTAAAACAAAATCAAAATTATCAGCTCAAGAACAAAATAGTTCAATTTAAAAAAAAAAAAGCTAAAATGTAAGCAAAAAAGAATAAATGAAAAGCTCTGATTTTTAATCGACGTTTTGCATAACATCCTCAGGCGTAAACTTGGTCCCTTTCTCCTTATCCGCAGCAACACGTCCCATGGATTTCTTCTCAAGCAGCGATTTCCGATCTTTATCAATTTTCAATTTCGTGATCACAACCTTTGATGCATTCACTCCAACATTCACCGTCGTTCCGTTAACTTTCTCCCTCGTGATTCTCTCCACGTGAATCACCCATTTTCGCCGGTAAACTTGCACGATCTTACCCACGCGTCCTTTGAAAGATCCGCGAACCACCTGTACCTCGTCGTCTTTCCTCACCGGAATCGATCGGACGTTGTACTTTTGCCGTAGCTCCGCCGAGAGCGGTGCGCTCATGATCACTCGTCTCTCACTCGACGGCACCGTGAAATGCGCCTTCCGGTTCTTCCTCCGAGACGATGTCACTCGTGGATTGGACTTCATCTTCTTCCTCCGCCGGCTGCTTCTTCTTCTCTGCTCTGGCTCTGTTTCAATCGAAAACTAGGGTTCCTGCGTAAAAGGATCGATCGTTTTATATATGGGAGCGGATTTTGAATGCGACGACGTCGTTCTATGGTTATTGTGAATCTTTCACATACGGCCTAATTATTTATTGGGCTTTAGGGCCTAACAAATTATGGGCTCTAGTATATATTTTTGCCTAAAAAATGATTACATATGAACATAGAGATGACAAAATAGACCGAGACCTATCTGACTCGGTCCGTTATGGAGAGGAATTGCACATATACACGGATTGCAGTTTCTAGTGGACTGATCTATTGTGTTTAAATTAAAATTTTGTTTATAAGTATATGTTATAGACTGTGATTTATTAGTAATGATTGATCGAATAATAAGTTCTTCATGCTTATAGTTAAATTCAGTTCTTTCAAAAATCAAGCCGATAGTAGAATTATGACGTACATCAAATCTAGGAAATCCATAAAACAATCAACATTTTTCCGAAAAAGTTGTTAGAGTCTAGACATCCGTGGGTACATGTTAATAACGATCTATATAGAAATCGTGTACATGTTACGATACTTTATAAACTCGTGTAATTTTACAACAGTCTTGTCAACATGAATCATTTTGGTACGTTTTTTTTTTTTGACAAATATAATTTTGGTACGTTACTTACAAGATCGTATAATTTAAGAAAAACTTTACCTGGTGTCACTTTTATATATTTTGTGAGGGAATTGTCATGTCAAAATTATTATTCGAGTTAGATTGATTGAGTTGGTTCTAATAATGTGTGAATTTTTTCTACATCATTTGTTCTATATTGTTCTAATTTAGATTTTATATATGGTACGAAGTCCTTTACCTATAAGTCCTTTTTACTTTTATGTGATTGATGGGAGGCCTACAGGTTTTTTTTTTTTTGTCTATGCCTAATTGGACGATAATTAAATAGTTAAACAAATATTCGTCTCATTGTACCCAAAAAAGCATGAATTTAAACCCATCATGTGCCAACCAAATAAAGCAAAATTAACGAATTCGTGAGTATAGAGCTAAACCATCCTAAATCATAGATGCATGCATTATCACGAAAAAAAATGTTTGTCCAAACATATTATACCATATCTTAGCATATATGATAGTGCATAAATATGGTTTATATGTTGACAACACAATGTAAGTTGCCAAGCTGGTTGGTGTCTGTCATGTATAAACTCACAACAAATGTATATATAGAATTTTCACTGGCCCATAACAGATATTATAGACTATACATATATACTCCGTATGAAATAAACTGAATCTTCAGGAAATGAAGATGGGACTTTTCCTAGAATACAAGAACAGATTTCGAGGAATATATAGGAAACTGAATTGCAAAACTCGATATAGGTATCGGAAGAAAGGGACAAAGATGCAGAGCGTGGGGTTCCTTCTAATAATTGTAGAAGAAACTCAAGAGAACTTGATCTACGAGAGATGGTGATGACTCGTGATAGGTATTTCTACTACATTGTGTGTAGCCTAGTCAATAATCTATTCTTGTACATTTATAGTATATTTGATCGCTTTATTCATAAATTGGTCTAGAATTTCAACATCACGACACAACACGTATATCTAAAGTAGTCAGAAAATATAGGATAGTTATGTAGTAGGTTATAATTGTCGTCGATATACCGAATAACATCATCATTGCACCATTCTATGGTTTTTTTACTTATTATTCACTTAAAGTATGCGATATCATTTACTATCACTATTTATTTTTTGGGATTAATTCATCATTAAAATGAAGAGAACAAAACCATCATTCCACAGATACACATTTCTATTCGGTTCCTTATAGTTTTCAGAAGATTGTGATTCCTTCAATTTGTAGTCCAACGTGTCAATCAAAATATTCACATCCAATTTCGAGACTTGGGATTTCAAACGATCGAAATATGGGAATGAACTCTGGGGTAGACAAGAATGCTTTGTATCGAGATAAACGAGAAAACCATGATGAGCCTATGCATTAAGTGCCGTTGGTTAATTAGGGGTTCGCATATATATAAACCAATAGACAAATGGATAAAATGAACGAACAAGAGAAAAGAAAAAAACATTATCTAAATAAGGGTAGAGAATAATAAATCCTCAGGTGGGAAGTTCAAAGAGAAAAGGTATGTATATAGACTCTATACAAAAATGGTATGACTTAGTGGAGAGTGTTTTAAATTAGAACAATGGGATTAAAGAAGAAGAAAACAAAGAAGCATGCCCTAGATTTCTGAGATAATAATTACACCTTGTTGTTTATATAAGGGAATTGAATATGACACATGGATTGGTTTCTTATGGGGTTAATGTGAAAAATAAAAATTATGAATGAAATGAGACAATCTAAAATAGTAAAGAAGGTATAAATGGAGAAGAAGAGAGGAAAGGGAAAAATGGTGGCAGAGAATGGAGAGAGGTTAGGAGGCAAAGCAAATGTGGAGCTTTGATGATGTTGATGCACGCCGTCAGCTTTTCTTCACGCCTGCTCCCACTCACTCACACCTATAAACATTCTCTCTCTCTCTCTCTCTCTATCTATATTCTTTTTTTAATTATATTCACATGTCTCTATGTATATAACCATTTTGTGTGTGTTAAATTAGCTATAAGTCTATAATCATGTATGTATTCCAAAACATCTTATAGGTATTATACAAAACGTTCATGACCCCCACCCCCAAAAAATATATATATTTCAAGTGGTGTTTTCCTTATAGTGACAACATGTGGGTATGTATAAAATTTACCTTTTTACTACAAAGAAAAGAGATAGTTATTTGGCATTGTTTCGTCGGTCTATAAGAGACTGTTATAATACTTGACAAAATTTCGTTTTGTCGATCGATTCAAGAATTCAAAACGTTCGTAGAAAAATATTGCAATAGTACTAGAGTATGAAACTAGCATGAAAATATATCGAAATAGAATAGTGATAATATAGTGATTTCATAACATACATAACATTCGTTTACTTGGTTCGAATTGTGTAATTTCTTTAAACGATTTTATGTTTCGATTGGTTTGGTTTTAGTAGGAGTGTAGGATACTTTATTGCTTTTGCGGTCTGCTGATTTTGGATCTATAAAGAGTTTTTTTTTTTAATTTTATTTTACACCACTTAGGATGATACTTGAACAACTTTGGTTTCATGTATTTGGCCTATATATAAACAAACATCGTATTATATACGGCTTTTTGGGAATTTTACGCCATGTAATATAAATGTATATCATGTATGCGTTCAATTTCTGTGTCCATAAATACATATTCATATATATATATAAATGCGTGATGAACGATCCACGTAAATACAATTTGCATGAGAGAGAGAGAGAGAAGTATTAAAAATGTAGAAGAAGAAATAACAGGGAAGGTTACTCGGGTGGATTGATGTGAAAAAGAAGGAAAAGCGAAACCCACTAAGCCATTACATGATATCGACCTTCTTATCTTTTTCTTCTATATTTTCTAACTTTTATTTTGATTTTTCTCATTTTTTTGTCAGGACTTTTTTCTACTTAATGAAACCTCCAAATATCTAACTAATTCAATCCTAGTAGTTAAATAAAGATTGGGGAATTGGTAAATCATAGAAAAAAAACGTAAATATTGGTCTGCTTATTGATTTTACGATTATACCACAGTCATTCATAATTTTTACTAGTTCACACACTATCTGCATTTTAATTACTAAATAGAACCTATAACAACTAAACATTTCCGCAGGACTGCAAAATAGTAGGATCACATTTGACCCAAAAAAGTAGGATCATTGTGTCCAAATTTTGATTGATCATCAATTACTAGGGCTGATAGTAAAAACAAAAAACATTCTTGATTAGCCAAAAAGAGAAAAGGAATACTGATTAAAAGAGGTATCCTCTCTCTCTAATTATGTTTTCACTAAACCCAATTAGATTCAAACAATCTGTTAAGTCCAACATGGGACAACAATTCGATGCCTGAAAAAACTCCTCTTTTAATGCCCCATTCTTTCTTTAAATTACTAATAAAAACTTGCAAATCACCAAACCCATTCTCTACAACTCATATTCATCAAAGATTCACCCACTCCCACCGAGATAACAAAAGTAAAAAATATATATATATACACAACAACACATGATGCTGATGCAATATACACAACAAAGTATTAAATCTTAGATATTGTGGGTCTCCCTTCTATTCTCTGTCCTCTATTCATTTTCTTATTCATTAAAAAAAAAATTATGGATACTCTCTTTAGACTAGTCAGTCTCCAACAACAACAACAATCCGATAGTATCATTACAAATCAATCTTCGTTAAGCAGAACCTCCACCACCACTACTGGCTCTCCACAAACTGCTTATCACTACAGTCACAACAACTTCCCACAAAACGACGTCGTCGAAGAATGCTTCAACTTTTTCATGGATGAAGAAGACCTTTCCTCTTCTTCCTCTCATCACAACCATCACCACAATCCTAATTACTACTCTCCTTTCACTACTCCCATCCAATACCATCCCGCCACGTCATCAACCCCTTCCTCCACCGCCGCAGCCCCCTCCGCCGCCTTAGCCTCACCGTACTCCTCCTCCGGGCACCACAATGACCCTTCCGCTTTCTCCATCCCTCAGACTCCTCCTTCGTTCGACTTCTCAGCCAATGCCAAGTGGGCTGACTCGATCCTCCTCGAAGCCGCACGTGCCTTCTCCGACAAAGACACCGCACGTGCGCAGCAAATCCTCTGGACGCTCAACGAGCTCTCTTCTCCGTACGGAGACACCGAGCAAAAACTCGCTTCTTACTTCCTCCAAGCTCTCTTCAACCGCATGACCGGCTCTGGCGAACGTTGCTACCGAACCATGGTAACCGCTGCAGCCACAGAGAAGACTTGCTCCTTCGAGTCAACGCGCAAGACTGTCCTCAAGTTCCAAGAAGTTAGCCCGTGGGCCACGTTTGGACACGTGGCGGCAAACGGAGCGATCTTGGAAGCAGTAGACGGAGAGGCAAAGATCCATATCGTTGACATAAGCTCCACGTTTTGCACTCAATGGCCGACTCTTCTAGAAGCCTTAGCCACGAGGTCAGACGACACGCCTCACCTAAGACTAACCACAGTGGTCGTGGCCAACAAATTCGTCAACGATCAAACGGCGTCGCATCGGATGATGAAAGAGATCGGAAACCGAATGGAGAAGTTCGCTAGGCTCATGGGAGTTCCTTTTAAATTCAGCATTATCCATCACGTTGGAGATTTATCCGAGTTTGATCTCAACGAACTCGATATCAAATCAGACGAGGTCTTAGCGGTCAACTGCGTAGGCACGATGCATGGGATCGCGCCTCGTGGAAACCCTAGAAACGCTGTGATATCGAATTTCCGACGGCTAAGGCCGAGGATTTTCACCGTCGTCGAAGAAGAAGCTGATCTTGCAGGAGAAGAACAAGAAGGTTTTGATGATGATCAGTTCTTGAGAGGGTTTGGAGAATGTTTGCGTTGGTCTAGGGTTTGCTTCGAGTCTTTGGAAGAGAGTTTTCCGAGGACGAGCAACGAGAGGTTGATGCTAGAGCGTGCGGCGGGGCGTGCGATCGTTGATTTGGTGGCTTGTGAGCCGTCGGATTCGACGGAGAGGAGAGAGACGGCGAGGAAGTGGTCGAGGAGGATGAGGAACGGTGGGTTTGGAGCGGTGGGGTATAGTGATGAGGTGGCGGATGACGTCAGAGCTTTGTTGAGGAGATATAAAGAAGGAGTTTGGTCGATGGTACAGTGCTCTGATGCCGCCGGAATATTCCTTTGTTGGAGAGATCAGCCGGTGGTTTGGGCTAGTGCGTGGCGGCCAACGTAAAAGGATTGTTTTTTTTTTAATATATTCGCACGCGCGCTTTTTGCTTGAGATGGTTTTACACGTGTGGTGATGTTTGATGATCGGTTTTGAGATTGAAGAGTTAACGATATGATGATGATGAGTTCATAATTTCGAATTTTCTTTTGGAAATAGGACTAATTAAATTATGGTCATTGAGGAGGATTGATTTTTCTTCTTTTCTTGGTCTGTTTTTCTTCTATATATCTTTTTGGAATTAAATTTGTGATTACTTTGGTTTATGCTTAATTAAGTGTAGGGTTTTATTTTCCTTTATAATTAATGAAGTTTTTATTTTTCATACACTTGCTAGAAGCTCTTGACCATAACGTTGATTTATTTTCCAATATGTGAGCGCGTAAATAGTTACTGTTACATTGGATGATCGATTAACTGGAAATCATATGGATGTAGGGAATGATAAATTTAAATTAATAAACTAGCGATAACTCTTCAAACTCAACAAGAATTATTACTAATCATATCGAGTTATACATAATCACTACATGTTTCTAATCAAAGCATTTTGAGTCAATGAGAGAGCTGGTTCACGACTTCACTTCAACTTGGTTCTTGTATGTATATAGAATCTTGGGACAGCTACTTTGTTTGAGGAATCTCTTCGTTGGAATCTCGTAAATGCAGCTCTAGTGCCCTGCACGCTTCTGAATATGTATAAACATTTTGGTCTTATAAACATAAACAAACTTAGAACATTTGAATTTCGATGGTATCTAATATGCAGCAGTCACTTTAGAATTACTAGTGGCAACTCGCAACCGGCTAAATATATATATTTACATGCAATGCAAGTAATTTTACGTTTAAGGAACACTACCTTTTTTTAATGGCTAAAGTGTTGTTTTTGAAAGAAATAAAACAAAAGACTTAGTTTTACGGTTCACATTCTGATGCGTGAGGGGTATCTATTGTTACAGGAAAATAATTCAACTTACATACACGACGATTACTCACAACATGATACTCATTCATCATTTGTCGTTCTTGTGAAGTGTAAACCATTTATTTATTTTGGCTTTTTAATAATGGATCTTTCAACTTTTGCTTTATAAAAGAGATAAAAGGGACCAGTCTTTTATTTGATTCACACATATATGTATGTATACATATATTATGTCTTCAATGGATTACACATGCATATACCTAAGAATGTTCATGGCCCCCCTTACCCATCATGTTTTTAATTAGAAAGCAGCCCATAAAAAGTAAATAATTGAAATAAATAGTTAATCCATTGATACCAACATTTACATATCTAGATTTTTGAATCTGAGAAAAATAAAAAAGATGAAAAAAGTAGTGGGAACTGCTTTTGAGATATGTGGCTGGTTTCACTACAACTCACTCTCTCCCTGCATCTTTTGATGAGGCTTTTGCCTCCCCCATGTTAATATTGGTACGATCTTTAGCTTCGCTTTTTAAGCTAATCTTTTTATAAAAAAATCTAGCTTCTTTTGGTCTGTTTTCTTGTTTATAAAGTCATGCAAAAAGCAAATTAATACATAAAAATCTTCTGCTTGGCCCATTTTTGCTTTAACTAGAATCAAAACCTTGTTGGGTCCCTTTGTACCACGACTTGACCATTAGACACATCTAACTAGAACATGCCTAAGTTCATAGGGAATATCTCAATTAACCCCATGACTGAAGTAAAAGTTCATGATTATTTTTTTTTTGTAATTGAGAGCAATGAGTTTTTGTAAAATGATGAAAGAACTAGCTTGTAAATGTTTTTGTGGCGAAAAAAATTGACTTTATTGACATTTCAATCGCATATTTCTTGAAGACATTTGGTGGTTCTGTACATGCAATGCAGCACAGCATGTTCAAATAACCGATTAACCGTACATTCTCATGACTCTCCAAAAAAAATTTTCTTTTCAATTTTGGTTCTGTACATGCTTATTTTCCATATTCTTAGCTAATTACCTCCATTTTATTGTTAATTAATTACGTGCAATTAAATATATCATCAAAACTATTTGTTTTGTATTAACGTTTAGTTTTAAGATTTTTTTGTTGTTGAACAAGTGGCGACATTAATCCCGTTAAAAACATAAATTGATTTTCTAAAAATTATCACAATAAACACGAATTTTCTATTTGTTTTGTCAGTTTAACGTCGAGTTCAAACAGGAAACATGACTTCATTAGCTAAGCAGTCTTTTGGTCAACAAAGGAAAAAAAAATCATATAATGTCGCAAAAGATACACGAACTTTTGAAGTTTCTATAATTTTTCTTCTCTTTCTTTTTAGGTTTGCAAGAGATTTCTCCCTTCATACAAAACAAATAAAATAATAAATTTCAGCTTTTCCAATTGGTTTGGTTGGTCTGATGGGGTCCCTTTTTTTATTATTCACATGATGTTGTCTTTTACATGGGCCTCGTTAAATGGGCCAGACGCAGCCCACTCGATTTGACGAAGCAAAAAGTGCAACGGCAAACGAAATGAAATTGGACGGACGGCGAAAACCCTAAGCAAAAACCCAACCTCACCGGCAAAAATGCGAGTTCCGATCTCCGGGTTTTTCTCGAGATCCATAGGATTACTCAACCGTAAAACGACTCTAATCGCCGGTGCTCGCCATCTATGCGCCGTCGCTTCTCCCGAGGCCAGGACGAAGAAGCTCGAGCGGATCGCCGACGACTTGCTCAAGCTGAACAGGATTGAGCTTTACGATTACTCAATCCTCTTCAGCCATAAACTCGGTCTCAATCGCTACGGTTCCGCCGTGTCTGTCGCCGCCGACGATGCGGACGCATCTGGCTCTACAGAGAGCAAAACGGCGGAAAAGACTGCGTTTGATGTGAAGCTGGAGAAATTCGAATCGTCTTCGAAGATCAAGGTCATAAAAGAGATCAGAGCGTTTACGGAGCTGGGATTGAAAGAAGCCAAGGAGCTGGTTGAGAAAGCTCCTGTTGTCGTGAAGAAAGGTATCACTAAGGAAGAAGCTGATCAGATCATGGAGAAACTCAAAGCGGTAGGTGCTACTGTAGCTTTGGAATGAAAACAGAAAAAGAATCTGAGATTATTGTGATCAAATAACTATTTGAATACTTCGAAATCAAACAATCTTGTAATGTTTTTGAGATGATGATATTGCTTTTACAATATTGCTTGCTGTGTCATCTTCATCATCTTCTTCTTCCTGGAATGCACTCTGTGTTTATGTCCTCATGACTGAAATGCCACTCCTATCAGGTAATAACTTCTTAATGTAATACTTGGATTTTCTAGAAAGGTTGATTTTTTTCCTTCTGGTCTCTGGTATCATCTCGATTGAACATTCTTGAAATCCGCGTCTCACAAACCAATCTGCTGTTCGCGTTGTAAGCAGAAACAGCCTCTCTAACCCGATAGACGAAGCTTTCTTCTCTATGTAATCTGTAGAGAAAGAAAAAAAACAGACTGTTGAATGTATCTGTAGTTTTGCAAAGGTAGCACAAATGTCTCGAGTTTATTGTGTACCGAGCAATTTATCGCCTTGGCCTTGACCACGACAATCTGATGAAACTGCGATCGCTGCTACTTCTCCGCATTTGTCTTCATAGAATGGAAACAAAGCCGCACAAGCGATGATCTGACCTTCTCTTTCCACAACCACGAACGAATCCAAAGCTTGCAGTAACTGCACATAAAGGTCAAATCTTTAACGGCGTTACAAGTCTTAAAACCTATAAAACAATGAGATACGGAAGATGGGTGAGGCTGTAACCTCCTCATCGGTTCTGCGAACCAAAATCCCAGAATCCTCCAAGGGTCTGATTATATTTCTAATTCCTGCAAGATCTTCCACTTTGGCATCTCGTGTTCCTTCGTAAACATCACTGCGCGTAACGGTCAATACAGAATTGTAAGAATGCTAAACCGGGATGATACGCGTGTGAAGACAATGCAAATATACCTAGCAACCATAGTTCCCAGTCCATCTCTTTTGAAAAGCTCCAACAATAGAACTCCACTTATAGTACCGTCCAACAAGTGAACTCTTTTGACTCCACCCTTCAAAGAAAGCCAAAACAAACAGTTTCAGTTAAATGGTGGCATATAGAAACAAGACCAATGTTTCAAAAACACTAACTCTGCAGACGAAAGCAGCAGCAGCCAATTCAGAAAGATAGCCATTTAGGCGGCTTAGTCTTTCCTCACCACCAATAGCAAAACCTTGCTCACCAGACCACAATCCGTTTCCGTTATCAAATCCAACTCCGTTCTGAAAGATGGGAGTGTGGTTTCCGTTTCCCCAAAATGTTGCTCTCCCGTTATGAGGAGAAGTTACATTACCATTGTTGGTGTTGTTAGGAGGTTCGTGATAAGCGATACTTCCATCTCCAACAGCCTTGACGTAATTAGCAGCTATGTCACTTTGTTGTGCCCGTTTTCTTACTAACATATCTGCTTCTTGAAGTGTCAAGAAACGAATAAGATGTCCACTCTCATCAAGGATTGGACCATCCATTATGCAAATAAGCTTATCTGCTCCAATAGCTAATGCACAAGCTGTGGCAACCTCATAGGTACTGCAGAAGCAAAGGTGTCTCAACATTATAGTGAGAAAAATTCAATCCTTTTAAGGTTAACGGAAACAAACATTTCTCGATAGTAGAGTGAGCATACTTGCAATTTAAGACTTCTCCAGAGCTCGAGTGGCCCAGATTCCTCAATAAAACTACAGAACCACCGTCAAGCCTCTCACAAATCCGATCTACATCTATCTTTTTCACTTCACCTGTCGCTCCAAAGTCAACCCCATCAACAACACCTCTTCTCTGCAACAGCAACAACAAGACCCAATATGATGAGTCTCAAGGTCGTATCGTCTGAGCAAATCAAGAATGTGGAAACCTCACTTTTGCTGCAAAGAAGTTGCCGGTATCAACCCTGACACCTATATCATGTAAACGACTACGGTCACCATGCCTACGGATATTGCAAATGGAAGGTCCAGGAGATAGTTTGGCCTCAAGCATCACTGATATTGCTCCTGCAGCTTCCTTAGCAGCCTGCAAAGATGCTGCATCCGTTACTCTGTAACGTCCCACATATGTAGCCTCACGTCCTGAAAATCACACACCTTTAGGCTCGTAGCTGATGGAAATATTACTTGACACAAGCAAGGCTTATATAGTTAGAATCTGACGTCGTGACAAAACCAGAGGCAAGGTTCATTTATTTTCACCTCTCTCAGTCAGAAGCTCGTCGATTTGCTCTTGAGTTCCGGGAACTAGAACAAATCTTATTCCAAGATGATGAAGAAAGGCAATGTCCTGCAGAGAAATCAAATTAGATTAACCTTATACGTAATATGAGAACTGCAAACTTAACCACATTGCAAAAAAAATAATAATATACTAACAAATGAAGATCTACGGTAATATAGAACTCTAATGCTCTAACTCTCAATTTTGCATACAGAGTGATAATTAAGAAATGTGTCGACTAAGAGAAGCAAATTAGAAAGAAAAAAATAAAAATAAAAACTTTACTGAGACAAACAGTCGAACACCTTACGTGCTTCTTTTTCATAACTAAAAAAAAACGAATTGTATGTAAAGAGTGTGAAAAAACGTTGCCTTCAAGATGGGATCACAGTAAGGGCCGGAAATGATCTCGCCGGAGATAATAACGACGAAAGTGCAGCCACGGTGGGCCCACAGATAAGGCCAAGCTTCACGGAACCAACGCACAAACTCCTTGTCGTCCACCGGATGCTCAGCCTCCACATCGCCGCCTGCATTCACCGCGTAGTCAAACATATTGCATTTCGCCGCCGCCGTCTCCGCTCGATAAGACACTGAACCAATCGGTTTAAACCATGGACAGCTTAACCGGAATTGACAAGGGGTTAGCTTAGTTTTCGGCGTGAACGACGAAAAGTCTTTCCTTGTTTGGCGAAATTGGAGAGGAACATAGCAGTTTGAAGAAGAAGCAGAACCCACCAAAGCTCCTCGCTCCATCTTCTCTAGATTTGGGTTGGAGAATTTCAACTAATTCCTAATGTTAATTAAACCGGAAGGAGACGGCGGTCTACAATCGACGGCGATGGCGGTAGTTGCCGTAGTAGGACCCACCACGTCAGTAGCGGTCTTTTATTTATTTTACCTTTAACTTTTTTTCCTTCTCAATCTGCCGACTCTTTGAATGTCTGGTCGTAAGCTTAACTTGTCCCCACGTGAGTCATAGTTGTTCGGTTCCGGTCAATAACTTGAAGGCAAGTTGGTTCAACCGGTCCGGTCAGTTACCAATTCAACACTTTACTGTCAATCTCGGTCTGAGTCGGAGTTACTACACAAAATACCCTACTGGGCTTTTAAGGAAGTTTTGGAATACCCTACCGGCCCAAACCCATTTAAGTATCACCATCCTAAATTATATAATAAGGGCAAAAATATATATGGAAAACAGATGATTTTGATATGGATGTTTTCACATCTTAATTCGTGAAAGCTTGCATAATCCCAATCACTTATTAATTTGAAACAATTTCTATAAAAATTATCCAAATGATTTATGTAAAATAGCATATTAGTTTTGGTGGCAAGAAAATTACCATCGTGATAAAGTGATAATGTTGATGCAGAATATGAGATTACAATCTTTTTAAACAAAGTTGGGATTACGTAAAGACAACAAATTCAAAAAGGTGGGAAAAATATAAGCCAGAGAAAAAAACGAATATCTCTCGGTTATCCGAATCAATAATATTCCAACTAGACAACCAAAGATACTCCTTCACGATAGATATTTAACCTTGGTGATTGCGACATGTTACGTCTTTCATTTATTATGACATCATTCATAGACAACTCACTTTTACTATTTATGTTGCGATGAAATCATTATTAATAGTATAATTTTTCTCATGAACGTATACATGATTATTGATTTGTATAAACACGGTGAAAAAGGGTTAACAAAACTTAATTTGAGTTGTTATTGTTAATCGAATTTGATGTCCTTCTTCATATTCCTCGTACGACAAAACGCTATAAATGCTTGGAAATTTATTTCTTCGCCTAAAGCGAAAATAAATAAGAAATAAAGGGGTCCCACCGCAATACGCAAACAAAATATGTGGTCATGTATATAAAAATATCACAACTCGTAAAGATTGTGGCTTCAGAGCCTCTATCGTCGTCGATTTCATACCGAAACAAGAGGACAACTCTCTGTTGTTGATAAAAGAACGAAGCTTTAAGATCTATTTTGATCGACTTTTCATCTACCTCGCGGTGATTTAAAGATTTTAAAAGATTTTAGAGTTTTTTTCTCGTCGGCATTGAAATCGAGGTAAGTTTTCTCACCCTTTCTTGCCAAATTTCCTCTTATCTTCACGAAATCGAAGAAATTATTTGATAGTTTCTCTCTCGTTATTAAAACTTACAGGGTTTGAGAATTGAGATCCGAAGAAGAACATCTGAAATTCGTATCATTTCTTTGACTTTCCCTTCGAAATTCAGGTAGTTTTCTTGTTCTGTCCCAAGATTTTCTCAAATTCCTATGTAGATTTAAGCTTATTTCGAACAAAATTCGCGGGAGAATCACGATGCTTTCGTTTACAGATTATCTGAACTGTACATTAACTCGATCTCTCTGTTCCCATTTCTTCGGAAGTTTTCATTTTTCCAGAAGAAATCAAGATTTAGCATAAATGTTGCAATTTTGGTTGAAACTTGGATCCCTTGTTATTTAACTTGCGGGAATTTTCGTCTTGAGTTAGATTTGGTCAGATCTGTTTGATTGATATGGTTTATGGTAATTTGGTTTTGGTTTTGACTTTTGAGTAGAGAAGATGGATGGTGAGTCAGAGATCAAGGAACATTTACAACCCAAATCTCCATCTGAAACAATGGAGAAGAAGCAAAATCCGAAAGGGAAGAGATTATGGCGGAAAGTGAAGTATCAACTGGTGGAATATCACTCATTGCCTGATTATTTGAGAGACAATGAATACATCATCGGTCATTACCGATCCGAATGGCCAATCAAACAGATCCTTCTCAGCACTTTTACAATCCACAACGAGACCTTGAATGTTTGGACGTAAGTTTCGAATCAAGCTTCTTGCTTTCTTTTTTGTTCCCCCTTTCTTAAGGCCAAGAAACCTTGAATGTGTTATGTGCTTGAGATTTGCAGGCACTTGATTGGGTTTTTCCTGTTTCTAGCACTCACCATATACACAGCCACAAAAGTACCAAGCGTCGTGGATCTTCACTCTCTTCAACACCGTTTACCCGATGTGTTGAGGAAAACAGATCTTCACAAACTTCACTCAGAGCTCATGTCTCGCCTTCCTTCTAGTCCATCTAGTTGGCATGTAATGGAGCTTCTTTATAACTGTTTGCCTGAACGATTCTCTCATGGCAACTACACCGACATGTGTGTTCTGGTAAGAAAAGACTCAATCTTTCTGCTTATTTCTGCGGAGAAAAGACTCAATCTTTCTGCTTATTTCTGCGCATATTGGTTTCAAAAATGTGGCCAAGTTCATATCTTTTCATTTGGGTTTGTGAATTGCGTTGCAGCATTCAGTGAAGGAAGATCTTGCAAACATGATAGCTCCTCTAATCTTCAGGCCAATCACTCGATGGCCGTTTTATGCATTTCTAGGCGGCGCGATGTTCTGTCTATTAGCAAGCAGCACGTGCCACCTCCTCTCATGTCACTCAGAGAGAGTCTCCTACATAATGCTTAGGCTTGATTACGCCGGAATCGCAGCTCTGATCGCTACTTCCTTCTACCCTCCGGTGTATTACTCCTTCATGTGTGATCCTTTCTTCTGCAACCTCTACTTAGGATTCATAACGATCCTAGGAATCGCCACTGTTCTTGTCTCGCTCCTCCCCGTTTTCCAAAGCCCGGAGTTTCGGGTCGTGAGGGCCTCTCTGTTTTTCGGGATGGGATTCTCTGGCGCGGCTCCGATTCTGCATAAGCTGATCATCTTTTGGGATCAGCCAGAAGCGCTTCACACGACAGGTTACGAGATTTTGATGGGTTTGCTTTACGGGTTAGGAGCTTTGATTTATGCGACTAGGATTCCAGAGAGATGGATGCCTGGGAAATTCGATATAGCTGGACATAGCCATCAGTTGTTTCATGTCCTGGTGGTTGCTGGTGCGTTTACACATTATAGAGCCGGGCTTGTGTATCTTAAGTGGAGAGATATTGAAGGATGCTCATGAAGATAAAGGATTAGGTTTGAATCTTTGATGTTTCTGAATCTTTGTTTGTAGCTTCGTAAAAAGAATTTGGACTGTGTAAAGTCTATGTGTAAGCAAATATTTCTTGTTAATTCGGAATTAATATTGGGTCAAATAAGAGAATCTTACAAATCAATATGGACCCAAGGCCTGAAATGCTGAAAGCCTGAAACTGTGGGAAAGTCTTTATACTCTTATTCATCCATTATTAACACTTCTAGTGTGAAAATGTTATAAGTTTGTCTTTAGTCGTACAATTCCAAGTAATACAGATATATATAGACATATACAAATCAATCAATAATAACTATTCAAATCAAAACTAGGATGAAATTCTTCTCATATATGTACATAAGATTGGGTCAAATAAGATAAACTTACAATGGACCCAAGGCCTGAAATGCTGAAAGACTGAAACTGTGGGAAAGTCTTTGCATGGTCTTATTCATCCTTTTAATATGTTTTTCTGAGTCTTTCACCATTATGGCTCAGATTTAAAATGGTATTCACTAGTTAGATTTTTATCTTCTTTTTTTTCCCAAATTTCAAAATTTTATCTATAGTATTGAGATAAGATCACTTTTTATTAGTGAAATTTCCCTACAATTACTTTGCATAGAAATAAATCTTAAACTGGCATATATGTGAAATCACATATTGGTAATCTATTTTTTTAATAGCCTAAAATTATGAAAGGAATATAATCCAGTTTTGGAAAAATATATAATAACAGAATTATGAAAATAATTTATAACAGCTAAAAGTTTCGAAAACGAGTTTAGTTTTTCTTTTAAATTTTCTGGATTTTTTTTCCTCATTTTCTGGATTTTATATTAGACAAGAAATGATCCATTCCTGTCTATTAACAAAAATCTTACACTACCCATATATGTATTGTTACTAGTAAATCTCAATCTATTATATTAAAACAAAAACACATTTGGTACTTGCTCCCAAACACTCCTAATTTTTTTAAGTGTTTAAAAATAATTTTAATAATTATTTATATTTAATTTCGAAATTTAGTTATTAATTTAAATATTTTTAGAGTTCTTTAAATATAAGTAATTTAGATTTGATTTGATTTGATTAAAAATAATAAATCAGATATTAATTTAGATTTGATTTAAAGATTCTAATTTAAATAATTTCTATACTATTAAACATTTTTATCAAAAATATTTAGAATTTGAAAAAAAAAAATTCACATATGAAAAATAATGGTCATATTTGAAATATAAAATATTTATAATGATGTAAATGATATAATATTTATGTTGTTTATATAATATATTTACGATTATGATTTATTTACAAATTAATAATAAAATAATAGGTAAAATTCAAATGTATAATTTAAATATTAAAAATATATTTTTTTAAAATTCATAGAACTAAAAATATATATAAAAAACCGGGTTAAAAATATTTTGGTAACTAATATCACTAATTTTAAATTATACATGTATATCGAAAATATATTTTTCATACAAAATCAAAACATAAAAAATTAAAAATTATTGCATACACTATAATGTGGTTTGAAAAACCAGTTGTACACTCCCTTCATTGATTAAATTTTAGAAAACTATAATACTAAATAATACTGTTAATACATCTCAAACTTTTAAAAAATATTTATATTATACGGTAATATGAACGAAAAAGTTAGAATTATGTTTTTATAATATTTCATTTTGAATTAATATTAGCGGACGAGTTAAAATTATATTTTTATAATCATAATTAATTTTAATACTATAAAATTATATCTAAACACAAAAATTAATATTTTCATTTATTAAAAAAATATATTTATAAAAATAATTATATCTAAACTCAAAAACACAAATTATATTACAAAATTCGTTAAACAATCAAAAAAATATTCCCTTGCGAATGCATATGGTTAGAATCTAGTTAGATTTAAATGAAAAACTGAAACTTCTATCATAAATGATCTTATTTTCCCTTTCCTTACCATACATTTAGCTGACTAAATCACCTCACATTTAAGCCAATAAACCCTAAAATGCTAAAATGCTCATTTCTTTACTTTACCACCCAACTGTTTTCAGAATTACACTGACATTTCTCATTTTTTCTATCGCCAACTTGTAGATTTTTTATTTTTTCAGTCATCATCTTTTCGATGGGAAAACACGGCGGCGCAAAGACCAAAACCACCGTCTGTTTATCAGACGGAGTTATCTTCCTCGCCGGAGCTTTCATGTCTCTTATTCTCGTCTGGTCTTACTTCTCAATTTTTTCACCTTCCTCCAATTACTCTCTCACCGGTTTACGAGGAGATGGCGGACCAATTAAATGCTCCGGTTTAGACATGCAATTCGACCCGCCTGATTCCGGTTTTTACGATGATCCGGATCTAAGCTACTCGATCGAGAAATCCGTTACGGGATGGGACGAGAAACGGAAACGATGGCTCGAATTGCACCCGTCATTCAAACCCGGTTCTGAAAACCGGATCGTGATGGTAACCGGTTCGCAATCGACGCCGTGTAAAAACCCAATCGGAGACCATTTGTTGCTCCGATGCTTCAAAAACAAAGTCGATTACTGTCGAATCCATGGCCACGACATATTCTACAGCAATTCGCTGCTTCATCCGAAGATGAATTCTTATTGGGCGAAACTTCCGGTGGTGAAGGCGGCGATGCTTGCTCACCCAGAGGCGGAGTGGATTTGGTGGGTTGATTCCGACGCGATTTTCACCGATATGGAATTCACGCCGCCGCTTCACCGTTACCGTTATCACAACCTCGTGGTTCACGGTTGGGCGAATATAATCTACGATAAACAGAGTTGGACGGCGTTAAATGCCGGCGTTTTCCTCATCAGAAATTGTCAATGGTCAATGGAGCTGATTGACACGTGGAAGAGTATGGGACCTGTGAGCCCTGATTACGCCAAGTGGGGTCCGATCCAACGGTCTATATTCAAAGATAAGTTGTTTCCCGAGTCGGACGATCAGACGGCTCTGATTTACTTGCTGTATAAACATAAAGAGGTGTATTACCCTAAGATATACCTCGAAGGAGAGTATTATCTCCAAGGGTATTGGATCGGTGTCGTCGGGGGTTTGGCTAACGTGACGGAGCGGTACCTTGAGATGGAACGAGATGACGCCACGTTGCGTAGACGGCACGCGGAGAAAGTCAGCGAACGATACGGTGCGTTTAGAGAGGAGAGGTTTCTTAGAGGCGAGTTTGGAGGGAGAGGGAGTCGCCGAAGAGCGTTTGTAACGCATTTCACGGGATGCCAGCCTTGCAGTGGGGACCACAATCCGATTTACGATGGTGACACGTGTTGGAAAGAGATGATAAGAGCCCTTAATTTCGCTGATAATCAGGTGATGCGCACGTACGGATACGTGCACTCCGATCTCAGCAAGACTTCTCCACTTCAACCTGTGCCGTTCGATTATCCTGATGAGCCATGGTGATTTTCGTTTTATCAACTTCTAGTTTTTTTTTTTTTTTTTTTTAGCGTATTTCGATATATAATGGTTTGAAATCTTTTCTAGTTATTTACATTACATTACTTGATCAGAATTCAAATAGATAAAGGGAAAAAAAGAAGAAATCATTCACTTTGTATTGTATATATATTGGTATGAATAAGATATGGGAAAAACGAAAAGGAATTGGTCATCGGTTTTTGTCCACGTCCAAATGCATGACTCAACCAACGTTTTCGCATTAGTTGAAACACATTATGATGTATATAAATCAAAACTATTTTGTATTTGATGGTAAAACACATGATCGATGCTCTGCGAATTATCAAATCATGGTTTAGCATGAACAAATGTCGTCGAAAAAAATAACGAATTAGTCCACCATATCGGAAATTTTTTTTTATGCCTATTATATATCTCCTCAAATTATCCACACCATTATGAACCCTCACTGGCCTCACATCGACAGTTATTGGTTCATAATCATTGGGTTGGTGATGTACATATCTAGTTGATTATTAGTTATCATATCACCATCACGTGTAAAATAAATACAAATGTATTTTACGTAGACATTATACCAACTAATACCAATACATGATTGACAGAAGACCAATTGTAAATATTAATATTATAAATATAAAAGAAATGTCACGTTAACATTTTCATTTTCACTTTTACAACAATATGGCAAAGCAATACACATGTGGCTAATTCTTAATTACATGAGCCCTTTAAGTATACTTGACAACACCGTAACTCTTACTCTTACTCTTTTCAAGCACCTTGTGATTAATACTCCCCAAATCAATCAAAGGACGGGTCTCATCAATTCTCTCAAACCCATGGGGAACATCACAATTTCTCACACTCTTAGCCTTCTGTAGTTTCGTAGACGGTCCATGCTGCGTATCAACGGTAGTATTTCTAGCTGATGCGGCTCTTACAAGCTCAGGCACACGATGCTCTTTGGCTCTCACGGAATTTTGCGAGTGGCTCGCGCTGAAACTTCTTGGGAGGGCGCTTACTTGGCAGACTGGTATCCCAAAAGCCATGCCGCTGCCGAGAAGGTCATGGGAAGAGAATTGATTCATGCTTTTAATGTACAAGTCTCTACCTTTCACCACCATCTTTATGGGGACCTTCATGTACTTGCTTAGTTTCGTCTCCTTTTTCTTGCTCATATTTTTTTTCTTATAGGAGATTCCAGAGTTCCTTCCTCCTTTTTTGGAACAGAATCAATAAGAAAATATTTGTCACAAAAGGGAGAAGAGAAATTAGGAGCCTGCTGAGAATTTAAACTTGAATAATATGGATAAATGGCATTGCGTGCGGAGACACATCATAGTATTTAATAAGTATAGCACTGAAGTTTTTTGTTGATTAAATTTATATAACACGAGAGTGACGAGACGCAGGGTCGGCTCAGAGCATAGACGAGATAAGCGACAGATTAGGGCATCCAATTTATGGGGGCATATTTTGATTAATTTTTTATATAAAAAGTATATATAAATAAACAAAATTTAAATATTTGTAAGTTTTTTTTGTAATGTTTATGGAATTTTCTCTAAAAAAAATGTTAGTTAAGGACATATTTTAAAACAATATCTATTTTATTAAATAAATTTTATTTTAGAAAAAAAAATAATAACATATATTTTATCAAATTAAGAGAATTAGAATTAGAAAAAATAATAATAATAACATAAGAAAAGAATTAGAATTAGAAAGGGCATATTCATTCTATCGAATATGAATTGGTTAAAAATATAATATTGAATTTGTTTAATATGAATAATATCGAATTAGAAAGAATATGTTCTTTCTATCGATGTCCCACATTGATATTATGCCAACAAAATAGACAATATCATGCTATATAAATACTCTGTTTTGTGATTAAATATACTCATATTTTTATGAAATCTTTCTTATATTTCATAATATTTTATGGTACCAGAGCCAGAAATCCTCTGACATCAGTAAGCGAGAATTCTTTGAGGAGATTATGTGCGAACATGGAGGTTTTTTAACGAATGATATGCATTCAGACATAGTTGATAATGATCTGTTTATGGAATTAAAAATTCTCCGAGAATCAATACCAAATGAAGTTTGGAAGCCTATTGAAGTGATTGATTTTTTAAAACAAATGGAAGATTGTTATCAAAACAGAGAAGTTGCTTATCGCATATTGTTGACAGATCCAGTATCTTCCACTACTAAAAGAAGTTTTTTAAAGTTGAAACTGATAAAGAATTATTTGCGATCTATCATGAGCTAGCTTTGTTATATATTGAGACAGATATGATTGAAAAACTTGATTATGCGAATTTAATGAACGATTTTGCAGGAAAAAATGTAAGGAGAACCATATTTCAACAAAGAATATTAGTTTTATTGTGTTTTTTGCTTTGTTTTTTAATTGTTTATGGAGTTGAAATATTTTATAAAATTTTAATTTTTTATTTATTTATTTTGTATTATTTTTGTTTTAAAAAAAATAAAAGGCATACTTTAAATTTTAGACTAGAGCATTTAAATTGATTCGTCCCGCACTGACGAGATGTTGAGTGTTTAATGGAATCCATACTAAAGAAAAGCTAAACTTTGATTATGATAACAGAAAAAGGTTATCATACTCTAAAATGTGGATCCTATTTGATTTTTAACACCTAAATTATTAGATCCTTTGTTATATCATATGCTTAGAAATTTGTAAAGTCAACAGTTGACTTCAACAAATGAAAATTTATAGGAGATGTGAACATATTACTCTATGAAACTAATTGAAACAAGACTTAAATTTTTGGTAAACCAATCGATACAAAATATTATGGGAAAAAATAATTGGAAAATTGCGACAACGAGAGGACAACAGACCTGGTTAATCACAAGATTCTTCATGTCTACAGTTTTGTGTTCAATCGGATCCTAAATCATTCTTTTTACATAGTGATTTACTTAAAGGTAAATTTGCCTTTTTTTTTTTACCTAAATCATTCTATTTTAATTTTATTAATTATCTTTAAAGGCTTTTCATTTAGAAATAAAGGATATACTGTTGCTTCGGCTATAACAAGTTATGAACTTCCAAGAAAGTTATCCCGAGCTTATATAAGCTCTCTTTTTAATTAAAATTCTAATTACAAAAGTTTAAAAATAAATCAAATGAGCAAGTACAGTAAATTGTGCGAGAAAGTGTTTTAAGATTTTGTTAGTTTAATAAATAAAAAATGTAAATGATTGTTTCTTCTTCTTCTTCCCCCTTCTATATACTCTAATTAAAACATAGAACTTCTAGAAATCAAATCATAGATCACAGATTCCGGTTACGCTCACGTGGGCGGCCTTCTTTATTCTATTGGACACGACGTTGAAATTTTCCTTTTTCTTCACTTTTGGTTCAGATAAAACGAACTATATAAAATAAAAACAATGTTCTCAAAAGTCAAATCCTAAGAATAGTCAAAAACCAAAGGCTTGACCCACGTTGATAATGTTGCACATGAACGATAATTGATATATATATACCCCATCAAGATCAATCACTCAACTTCACATTAAAATCTTCCAAAGCTGTAATCTCAAAGTCTCCATGGAAGCTACATCACAGCCGTTTATGTCTCAGAGTTACCTTAACGCTCAAGAAACAGCGACAAGGGCAACGAAAAATTACTTAAATTCGCTCCATTCGACCCGAAAGCAACCTTCAAAGCCCTTGAAAAGACCTGTAACATCATCAATATCATCTCATTCGAAGCCAATGCATCCCCAAGTTTACCGAGTCGAGCCAATAGACTTCAAAGAGTTGGTTCAAAGGCTCACCGGTGCACCTGAGCACGAGGTCGTGGCTAAATCGCTTAATAGTTTGGATGATGCAGCAAAGGAGAGTTCTTCGTTTGCGTTTGATCTGCCATCGTCATCATGGGGAGATTTGTCACTTCAAAATCCTGCGAATCTCTCCAGATGGTAGTTTTTTTTAGAGGCATAACATCTTTTACTTGCTCTTGCAAAATGCATATTTTTATTGTAATTTTTGAAATTCTTGTACTCTTTTAGCTCTTTAAAAATATATACAGTAAAACCTCTATAAATTAATACTCGATAAATTAATAATCACTATAAATTAATAAATTTTGCTGGTCCCAAATCGGACCAATGTAAAAATTTATCAAATTCGATAAGATAATAAGATAATAATTTTTTTTTGAAACTCTTATATAAATATATGGTCCCAACAAAAACATAAATTAATAATTATATAAATTTATGCAAATATATATAAATATAATATTCTAAAATATGACTAATGTGTTTTCTTTAACTTAATGTTGAAATCTCATTGGATCTTATCTCTCTAATTATTATATAAGTAGCTCTTATTGGTTTTTTACTATATACATTCAAAACCTTTGGTGAAAGAATTTTTTTTGTAATTCCTTACATAAGGATTCAGAAAATATTGGATCCCCACCTACACAAGAAAATTGTTGATAAAATTTATGATGATTTTTGATATGATAATTGATTTTCTTACATGTAAAAGTTTTTGTATATATTGTAATGTTATCTTCAATTTTATCATCAATAATAGGGATAGTAGTCATAGTTTTTTTTTATAAATTTGAAACTTATAAACATGTATATTTTTACATGGACAATCCAATATGATATTAAAAACTATTTTATTGCAATAGTTATGATTGTTAATCATAATTTATATTACAAGATTTGTTAAAATTTTAAAATATAACGTTATTTCAAAAAAGTTTTTAAAAAATTATAAGCGGAAAGCAAACTTTTTCTATAAATAAATTAATAAAATATCATGGTCCCAATATTATTAATTTATAGAGGTTTTACTGTATTATGAATTTGCTTGACTAGCAGATTGGCGGGATAAAACCAACCGACTTTGCAATTTCTATTAATGATATTTATTTCATATTTTTTTAGATTTATTTAATTTTTACTCCATTTTCTGGTGAACTATATTACCGTGGATAACAAATTATGTGGTTCTACCATTCTGTGTTTTTTTTTGTTGGGAATATTGTTTATCCGAATTTCTATAGGGAATAATTTGACTCTTTCCAAACAAATAAAATAAACATATTCTGAATTAATTAATGATCCTAAAAAATACACAACATAAGGAAATAGTTTGGCATTTCCTTTAAAATCAATTGAATTAAATAAATAATTCTATATATACACATATATAACATGTGGAAGTGATTTGCAGTTGACGACGATTAGAATATTAATCTAAGGATTATTATTCTTCTGTGTATAGATATAATCAAGATGAGCCATCATTTTCATCAAACAATCTTCATCGTCGTATTTTTCGCAGCTCTCTCCCGCCACTTCATGTAGTTTTGATTCTATCATTTCCTGAATGTAATAAAACATAAATTACAAATAAAAAAAATATAATTACCTATAATATATATCTACATAATAACTAATTAACTAGGTATGTATATCAGTATATGACTAACCAGACTAAGTATGTCGGCCGGAGATTTTGTGAATGAGGCGAAGTCGGCCGGTTCACGACGGGCGGTGCATGTTAGCGTGCCTGCGCAAAGGAGGAGAGCTATCATGAGCAAAGTAGAGAGATTTTCCATTTTGTGATTAATTTTGGATATTGACACCAATGAACAAACCATCTTTATATAGAGTTAATCTTGGTCAACTCTTTTCTTAGTCTAGTCTTTTATCTTAAGAACAAAAATTAGACTGTTTTTGTTCTTTATCTTTTATTAGTTCAATGTTCTTATCTTGTCCGAAAAAAACTAGTAGATAACATACATTATCTCTTTACTCGTTTTGGAAAGAGAAAAAATAGGAATGTGTAGTTTTTAGTATTTTAGATTGTATATATACATAAAATTAATTTTGATAAAACTGATCGAATTCTGCCACTACTTTTCGAAAGGCTAACCATCAGACTAAGAATTTCTAGCTGTATATATATATTTTTTCATCAGTTCAACAACATGCTCAATAGAGAAGACCACTGTATTTTTTTTTTGTTTTGTTTAAGTATCTCCCTTAACTTCTTTATTCTTGCCAACAAAATATTCTACTTGTTATAACACATATCATATATGGACTCTTATACCGGCACATTAGGCCCATCAGGGCATTGTACTTAACATAGATTCCCTATGTACTCTATATATACATTCCAGTGATTAATAAAGTTTCTAAGTTTTCACAACACGTTATCAGCACGATAAGACTCTCTGAGCGAAAAACCCTAATAAATCCGGCCACCACCAAAACCCTAAAAGCAAGTCGAAACTTAAAAGACGCATATCTTCCAAACCGTGAGGAACCAGAAGACGATCTACATATCAAATCGAAGCCCTCGACGAGACGAATCTACTGGTGAAAACCGTTTGTCGATCCAACGTCGGACGCGCCCTCACGCACACTTACAGTACACGACGATCAACCGGAAAAAAAACCAGATCCGAGTTTTTCCTTCTTCAACCAGCAGCTTCTCCAGTTTTGGTGATCAATCCTTGGAATTTGTAGCGGCTAACTGAGGTCTATTAGCTCCCAGTTTCATTAGCCTGTCAGAAATCCAAAGGTGGAAAATGTATCTTCTAAAACTGAGAGTCATAGAACCTGTTGTTTAAACACTTCAAAACCCTATAAAAAAAAAAAAAAAATCGATCTCTAATTGATTGAAAGTGTTTGATACTCTGATGATTGATTGATAACTTGTTGATTGATTGTTTAAATTACAAGTTTATGCATGTTCAAAGGTTTTAAACTCGTTTTATAAAACCCTAATCTACAAAAACCTAACAACCGTTTTTGGCCATGTTTATGGCATAAACCTATTCGATTTTCTTCATGTTTAATAAGCTTGTTGCAGCTTATTTGATTGTTGATTCTCTTGCTTGAAACACTTGATTGAATAAACTAAGAAAATCAACCCTAAATCCTAAGCTTGATTCACGATTTTGTAATCTTCAAAATCGTAAGTCATAATGCTTAAACCCTAGTCCTTTTCACGTGATTTCTTTGTTGTCCTTGTGAAATTATTAAAACCATCGACCACAGATCCTATAGATCTCGAAATCACATCCAAAATATGTTTTCCAAACCGTTAAAACCTTAGATAAAACCCTAATCATATTCGGCTCCCCTAGGGTTCCTCCTAAACCGCCTAAAACCGGCTAAACCTGGTTCTCATTAACCGAAATTATATTCGGCTTTAACCGATTAAATCACAGCTATTAAACCGACATCATGTTCGGGGTAACTAAAACCATACCCTTTAAAATTTACTATTTCCGAGAAAGTTCCCTCTAATAGAAAGTTTCCTCATATAAAAACTTTCCTCATATAGAAATTTTCCCGACATAGAAACTTTCCTCATTTAGAAAATTACCCAAATTAGAAACTTTCCAAATTTAGAAACTTTCCTAAAATAGAAATATTCTCAAAATAGAAAGTTTCATCATCAGCATTCAAAATTTTCTCAAAACAATCCCTAACAAAATCAATCTCATGTTTCAGATGTCAAACATTCAGAAATGTGAATTCGAGGCCCTTCACGTCTCCGGGGATAACTACCTCGAGTGGGCCCTAGACATGCGCTTGTTCCTCGCATCGAAAGAACTCGATGCGTGTATTACCGACGGTAACACCGCATCCCGTAAGGGACAGTCTCAGACGATATGTCACATACGCCATCATCTGGCCCCGAGCCTTAAGCAGCAATATCTCACTCTTGAGAATCCACTTGAATTGTGGCAAGCGCTGAAAAAGCGATATGACCATCAGAAAATGGCCCAGTTTCCTCAGGCAGATTTCGACTGGAAGAACCTTCGGTTCCAGGACTACAAATCCGTAGATGATTACAACAACGAACTCTTTCGTATTGTTGCCATCCGGAAACTCTGTGGCGAGGATGTGACAGATAATAATCTCCTCGAGAAAACATTATCCACATTCAGCACAGAGAATGTTGTGCTCCAACAACAATACCGTGCAATGAAACACACATTGTACGAAGACTTGTTGTCCTGTCTTCTCCTCGCTGAGAAGAATAAACAGCTGCTTATGAGGAACAGCGCTATGAGGCCCCCGGGATCGGCTCCTGTCCCAGCTTCTCGTCAAGAGTCCTACCATGTTCAACCCGATAGATCCTCAGATCACCGCCGTGGACGTGGTAATGGACGTGGTAATGGCCGAGGACATGGACGTGGAAGACGTGGACGCGGACATGGTCGTGGCAACCGACCTAACCTCAGTTATGGTCCTGGTCGTGGTCGAGGCATCACCAAGCCGACCCGCCACACCAACCCCGATCACTCTGCTTGTACCAGATGTGGGATGTTCAACCACCCAACAAAGCAATGTCGCACCCCCAAGATCCACTGCGATTTATACCAGAAGTACGGAAAAGCTCCTGCTGAAGCCAACATGACTCAGCCAGTCGATGCTGCTAACCTGGAAGGTGACGACCTCCTTGATGATGAGAACACCACAAACGAGCAGACCGACCCCATGGACTATGAAACAGCTGATCTCCTCGATTAATTCAATCATCTGAAACTCTGATACAATTTGATTTTGTTCTTTATTTTTTCATTTTGGGATTTGTTTCATTTTTTTCCATTTGCCTTTATTCTCAGACACTGCTTTACTTTATGATTTATCACATTTTCTGAATTCCTCAATACTGAATTCTATCTTCTATTCATAATAAAGCACACCAGCAAATGGAAACCATAGTCGTAGATAGTGGATCCAGCCACACTATCTTAAGAAACAAAAGTTACTTCATAAACCTAACCTATCAAACCGCAAATATTAGCACCATCGCGGGTCCCTCAAACCTTATCGAAGGATATGGCCATGCCTATGTGTTGCTATCAAATGGCACACAATTTGAAATACCAGATGCTCTATATTCTCCTAGTTCGAAGAGAAATCTTCTGAGCTTCAAGGATATAAGACAGAATGGTTTCCACATAGAAACCCAAGGTCAAGGGAACAAAGAATCCCTCCTAGTCACTAAAACCGTAGACGGCCATAAACAAATCCTCGAAACCATACCCGCGCTCTCTACTGGACTTTACCATGCTAAAGTCAGTATGATTGAAGCTAATACCACTCTCAAAGCCCGGTTTACTGATTATACTATTTGGCACGACCGGCTCGGTCATCCCGGTGCAAATATGATGCGTAAACTAATTTAAAACTCTCAAGGGCATACCCTCAAAGAAAACCGAGCTTATCCTCAACACCTCATGTGCACAGCTTGTTCTCAAGGCAAATTGATCACTCGGCCTTCACCAGTTAAAATCTCTAAACAAACACTTCATTTCCTAGAAAGAATCCAGGGCGATATCTGTGGACCTATACATCCATCTTCCGGCCCATTCCGGTACTTCATGGTCCTTATAGACGCATCGACCCGTTGGTCATATGTTTGTCTCTTGTCCTCTCGGAACCAAGCCTTCGCTAGGTTCTTGGCCCAAATCATACAATTGCGGGCCCATTTCCCTGACTTCCCACTAAAGACTATCCGCCTTGACAATGCTGGTGAATTTACCTCACAAGCGTTTAATGACTACTGTATGGCCATGGGGGTAACCGTGGAACATCCTGTAGCACATGTCCATACTCAAAATGGATTGGCTGAATCATTCATTAAACGCATTCAATGGATAGCCCGACCATTACTCATGAGATCAAAGCTCCCGGCCTCAGCATGGGGACATGCAGTATTACATGCTGCTGAACTCATACGCATCTGGCCATCTAGTGAACACAAATATTCCCCATCCCAACTACTCTCGGGTCATGAGCCAGACATCTCCCATCTCAAAACATTTGGGTGTTCAGTATATGTACCCATTGCTCCACCACATCGAACCAAAATGGGACCTCAAAGAAGGATGGAAATATATGTTGGTTTTGACTCTCCCACCATCATAAGATATCTCGAGCCAACCACTGGAGATCTCTTCAAGGCCAGATATGCGGATTGCCAATTCGATGAATCGGTATATCTCTCTTTAGGTGGTGAGACAAACAAGCTGGTCAAAGATCTTTCATGGAATCAAACATCATTAAATTGGCAAGATCCTCGGACTCTAGAATGTGATTCAGAGATCCAAAAGATTATTTATTATCAAAAGCTAGCTAATCAATTGCCAGATTCCTTTGCTGACCCGACCAAAGTAACCAAATCGTACATCCCAGCTTGTAATGCACCAGTACGAATAGCTGTCCCAACGGGACAGATCCAAGTTGCTACAGAGTCTGCACCACGTCTCAAACGGGGCAGACCTCTCGGTTCCAAAGATAAGAATCCCCGGAAATCAAAGAAAGGTGCAATAACCGAAACCGGAATTCCTGCAATATCAGACATAGCCGCGGCTGAGACTCAATCTAATGAACCCTCAATGGAAGTTCGGGACGCCGAATCTCCAGGTTCAGAAGATAACAATGAGATCTCCATCAATTACAATATGTCCGGAATACAATGGAATCGAAAAGAAGTCGACTTAAATGCACTCTTTGCATACAAAGTAGCACTTGATGTTGCGCTCACGCAAGAGGATCTAGAACCCACGTCAATAACACAGTGTACACA